GGTGAGGCGACTAATATTGTGCATGTTTGAGCCAATTTCATTGTCACTTTCCATGTCCTCGTTAGCTTGTGTTAGCCTCTGTGCTACTAGTGGGTTTCAGTCGGGACTAAGTGCTATTTGCTGAAACCACTGAATTAATAAGATAAAACACTCAGATATATTAAAAAACTGAATAAAAACGCGCTAAAAAGTTGTTAAAAGTTTACTAAAAAGGTGCACAGAGCAGCCCTGCAGTACTGCTTACTTTGACACACCTGCGTTGATTCCAGGAGGTCCTGCCAATCTAACCTTTTAGAGGGGAGTGAGCCCCACATACAGCAGCCGCACAGATCTGTGGATATGAAAAGACTGAAAAATGTACAGCCTGTGCAACAATGTCATCACAAATTCACTCTGGCACACTGGAATGGACTGACTGATTTATTCACAGAGAAGTATCAGATACATGACCAACTATATGCATTAATACACATATTTGATTTATAATGTTTTGTTTTTATAATAGCATTTGAAGAGTGCTCTGAAAAGTGACACATTTGTTGTTTTATTTATTTATTCATTATTTATCCGATCAGAAAGACTCTGAAACTAGTCCAACAACACCTTTGGAGATTTCATGACACTTTGAAGCAAGTTAAAGTCATCATTCTAAGAATGCACAAGGCAGAGGCAATTGCACCCTTTACCATGGTTTACTGTATTTCTCCTTTTCTTCCCTCCAGATTGAAGAAAAGGACAGGGCTCTTTGATCTGTAACAATGTGCATAAGAACAGAGACGTCGTCACTTAAGATATAAATGACACATGCTTAAGATAGATACTGTAGTAACAATGTGGTCAGTACAAATGTGTTCAGTTCTTCAGATAATCATGTTTCGCAGATATACAGATATGACAGGAGTCCACGGTAAAAAAATATGCTGGACAGATATCGGTGTGCAAAATGTATCCAAAATGGAATTTTTAAAACTCATTTAAAAAAAAAAAAATCTAAAATAGTTCTCTAACTTCTTTCACTGCGCACATGCCCTACTGCAACGTAACATTCACTTCTATCGGAAATTCTAATAGAATTGGGGTCAAAGTGTGTAATACTGATCCAAGATGCAATGTTAAAAATGTGTTTTTTAAAATCTGAATGATGTTTGCAACTACTTTCTCGCCCTCGCCCTGCGTGTAATCCCCGAAAAGGGGTGCTTAAGGCTGGGTACTCGGGTCTGACTGGTGCATAGGTCTAAACCAGACCAGACAGGTTAAGGTTGGCAGCCAAAGCAAACCAAGATGGCGGACATTAAATCCGTGAATGGCTTTAAAAGTTTAAATATGAACGAATAAAGACACAAATGTCACTTTTGATGCGAGATGTTGATGGTTCCATGTTGTAATATGTATGTGTTGAGTCAAAGTTTTGTGTAAAGTTTGGTTTAAGCAGTCAACTCATGGATGTATTATAATAACTGGATAGGGTATTACTAGCTTGTAGCTGAATAACCCATGTGCTCGGGGGATTCTCGCGGTACTGCAGACTAGACCAGACATAATTCACGTGGGCTACCCAGAAATTTTCCCCATAGAACTCAATGTAAATTAAAACAGCGCAACCTCAGCTGACAGAGAACCTACAGCTTTCATAAAGGTCGGATTTTGTGGGGATTTTAGTGTCCCTTGTCATCCTTAACTTTTTTTCTTCTTAAATCCTTCGGTTTTCTTTAAATCCACACTTTAGTGCCACAAACTCTGCTCGACTGGCTCTCGCTCTAACCGCTCTGATGAACTGCTCTGATTGGTCAGAGCGCAGCCGAGCCCCTCTGTGCACGTGCGTGAGACCTGGTGTGAGACCCACACAAGCGTGTTTGGCGCATCGCATTATGGGAGATCATCCACTGCGCAGAACCGGGAGGACCAGACGATGACCAATACAGGCAAGTTTCCCATAGATCTTTGCGAGTTTCCCATAGATCTTTGCAAGTTCCAGGCGACTTCTGCTAATCTTTCAGCCCCCATGCCGTCACAAAGCGCCACTGAGCACAACCATTAATTTGAATAGGGCGGCATCTTGAATCGCCGGGGCTTGAGTCAACTGCTCCTGTGAAACCACACTGCTACTGTTTTGATACTGTTTTGATAGCGTCCTGTGGCTATCTCGACAGCTGTTAGCATGCAACTGGTCTGTCGGGTTGATAGTGTAAATAATAAACAAAATCTAAGTTGTAAGCATGGATCTATTAGCTGTCGAGTTAGCCACAGGATGCGTCATCGACCTACGTCAGTAAAAGGACGTATGCGGCAGTTCAACTCGACAAGAAAGGTACTGCTATCAAAACCGTCTTGGTTTGCCTTGGCTGCCGTGAGAAGCGCATGCGCAGATTTGCTTTACATCATAAACAGCAGTGCATCTTGACGTTACACCTGAGCTGTATACTGCTGGCCCAGCAGAAGGGCCTGTCTCTGCGGATGTGAAGGGCCATGGCCAGGCCTGTGCTTGAGATTTGGAGAATCCAAACCCTAACCCTAGCCCCATAGGGACCTGGTTTCCTGATTTCCCATACTAACCAGGCCGACCTTGTCTAGCTTCCTAGATCAGACGTGTTCGGGCATTCTCAAGGTGGTATGGCCGTAAACACATGGTTGAGGAGCTGCACGACTCTTTATTGTGTTGCTGCTGCTGCTGCTGGTGGTAGTAGGCACAGGGCCACGGTTCTCTCCCCAGAGCAGGAGGGCTTAGACCTGGGTCACTGCACACTACCTTCCCTGTGAGAACTATTGGTCCATGCAGCCACAGGTTGTGTAACCTGGTAAACCCTGGGAGGCAGGTACTCACACATGTGTTACCCAGTGCCAGATCAGTCTGTGGGTGCAGGCCCCTTGTCCCTGGGCCTTGTTTACGGATATCTTTTTATTGAATTTGGAACATTTTGTACAACCAAACCCCTTTTTATAAAAAAAATCTCAATGGATTTTATAAAGTGCATTTTGGACCAATTTAGCAACCCTTTGACCCCAATTTTATTTGAATGTGCACAGTGAACATGAATGTTACTCTGCACAGTAGTAGAGGGCATCACAGTAAACAAGTGTGCAGTGAAAGTAGTCACAAAACTCTTTTAGATTGTTTTTAATGATATTTTTAAAAATTGCATTTTGGTTGCTCATCCCCGCGGCTTCCCTTTCTACGTTTACCGTAGGTAACAGCATAAAGGGGCCACCCACTTTACCGTAGTGCTCTGGGATAAGGGTTCATTGGGTGAGAGCGGTCCTCTCCTTGTCACTGTTGTGTTTGAGGCCAGAAATACATCACGTGAACCCATGGCTGGCCCTAGGTCATCAGGCGCCCTAGGCGAAAATATATCATGGCGCCCCTTGCACACTTGTAGAGGGCATTACAGTGAACAAGTGTGCTCTGAATGTAGTCACAAACCTTTAAAATGTGCCTTTTGGCGGCTCATTCCCGCGGCTTCTCTTTCCAATTTTACGTAAGAAACAGCCTACAAGAGCCACCTGCTGTTGATCAATGTTAGGCAAGTTACTTCAAAAACGTAATACATTATGTTTCACTTATTACTGTTATTTCAAAATAATGTATTACACTATAATTTTACTGTATCTGAATTGTAACTGCATTACTTTTAAGTTACTTTCTCCAAATATATATAGTGAAAAAAGGATTAGGATTTAATCATCTCAAGTTCCATTTTTAAATATTAATTTCAGTATAATAATCGAAGGGGGTGTTGAACTTGGTGTAAAATGGTTAATCCTAAACAGCTTCAGCCCTGGCTCAGTCCTGGCTCAGTCATGGTTGTCCTGGCTCAGTCCTGGCTCAGTCCTAGTTCAGTCCTGGCTCAGTCCTAGTTCAGTCCTGGATGTCCTGGCTCAGTCCTAGTTCAGTCCTGGTTGTCCTGGTTCACAGCAGCTCACTGCTTTATTTAATAAACATGATGGAAGTGCATCATTCTTGCCTCTGTTTAAAACGCGCCGCTCATCGCTCACGTATTTTCCGCCCGTTGTGTAGTGTCTGCCTCTGTCTCAAACAGGACTCTGTAGAGAGTCATAACTCTGAAAACGGACTCGTTTTGGACAATTTAAAGATCAAACCAGAGTTTAGACTCTAATCTGTCCATATGCCGCATGTCTCTGTTCATACCTCTACTTTGAGCCCGTTTTTCATTCTCTTCTTTTCTTTGGTGTTTGGCTGCACCTGACGTAGACTGCCTTTTCTTAATAACGTTGACCAAAAACACGTCCACCTTTCTTTCACACTTTCTGAGATGTGCGGGGCTGCCCCATAGACTGTATGGCTGCCCCTCCCCCACCCACTCACCTTGGCGCGACAAGAGAACCGCTTACAGCAGCAGAGTTCTGTAAGTTTATAGTATACATAACCTGTATTTTTCAATCTTACGTGATGGGAAACACTTAGCAGATTAATTAAAAAAGGAATTTTTTTTTTATTTTGTTTATTTTTTTAAAGACTGCTATTTAGCGCCCCATCCTGCAGATGGCGCCCCAGCTATTATGGATTGTACATAACTCCATCTGTTTGTGGTTTTAAAGTTGAAAACCCCAGATTTAACTGTTCGTGTGTCATACAACTGTTGTTATGGCTCTACCGTGGCTAAACATTGACGAGAGAGCAGCTGAATCATTTTTTTGCCTTGTGGACCCTGGACGGACATATACGATAAATCCGGGAGTTTTTGACCCTTGATGCTTTGAGTTGTTGATGGTGTTTAGATTAAATTAATTGGCAATCTCTAAACCTGGTGCATGTATATCCATAGAATACAATATGTAAATGAAACTACTGAACAAGTGTAGGGACTGCTCACAATCTCCATCTGGTTCCAGTGCCAGCGACGCGCTCTTTTTTGTTGCGCGCATGATGTGGGTTAATGACGCGGAAACGCAGGCGGGCAAACCCATGCACACGCTCCAACTCTAGAATAAAGCAATAGACGGAGCGGCAGCGGTAGAGTGAGCGAGGAGCGGCCCTGGTGACTATGGAACCCGCGCAAAACTCACAGGCATCGGACATGACCGGGGAACACAACTCGGGGCCGTGCACGCTCGACCGGGCAGAAATCTCCAGCCCGTGTCCCGCCGTGGCCAAGCAGCGGTCGTTACGCGTGGTTTACGTCCTGAACGATGGGATGAAGTCTGCCATGGCCATCAGCCCCGAGTCCGGAGCGCTGCAGTGTCTCCAGAGAGCGTGCGACGCGGAGAGTGCCCTGCTGACCACTGTCGCATTCGGGAGACTGGACTTTGGAGAGACGTCAGTGCTGGACAGCTTCTATGATGCAGGTGCGTGCTTGGAAACGCAAAGAGTCCATGATTGCAGACTGGATCACAATAATCAAGTCCACAATAGGTCAATATCACTTTCACTTTCAACTATTAGGTGTGTGCGCCAAAGCCAGTACCCTCGTGCGTAACATGTATACATGTGCCAAACATCCAAACAGGCTTGTGCGTGTCCTGTTGCTGTATTTTTGAAGTTTATACTGTTCAGGATTTGTGCTTGTATCATCTGGAAAATGGTACAAAAAGGACGTTTTCTAACCTCAAAACATTAACACTGTATCACGTCTAGAGGCCTTTAGTTTTTTGTTGATAGGTCAAACAAGTGTGGTTATGTTTGTGACAGTTTATCGTCTCAAGTTTCAAAAATAGATGTAGCATGTAGGCATTCACATATTTATTGCAATTATAGCCTGCATTTGTAAATACCATGACATTAACGACATGTACAAACACTTTTCGTGTCACCCTAGTTATGAACACAATTGCACCTGACTTAAATACAGTCTCTTTATTCCATCTCCTCCATTCACTGGTTCTGCTCCTAGTCCTTTTTTTTTTTTTTTTTTTTTTTTTTTACAAAGATGACAACTTTTAATACATTGCAGTGATTATATGGGCTTTTGTGTGGGCGAAAAGTTGGTATGCATCTGCAAGACTGTATATGCCAACCTGCATTCCAATGAAATGAATGGTAAAATAATCTAGAAAACCACAAAGCAGATCCAGGGAAAAGGTGTGTGTAACAAGAGAAAAAAACACTAACAACTCAGGGCAGATCATGGAATCCAAAGTATACCAAGCGGTTCACTTGGTTCTTGTACTGTATTTGTGAAAGGATAATGTATACTGCCAACAAAAGTATTCTGGAATGAGGACATTGTCTTTCTCCTTCAATGGTTTTAAGATGGCACAGCATCAAACATCATAAAAACAAAGACTGTGCAACTAATTACAAATGCAAACATGATAACTCTACACTTAATATAACAGTCTACCCTCTCTGTTGACTTGTTTTCTGGGATAAGAAGGCCCTCCATTAGCCCCACCTGCTCCTTAGGCATTATGCATTTCCTCTCTCATAAGCTCTGACTATTTCATCTGTTGTTATGTCATAATTATACATCTGGCACCTTGCCTCCTCTTTAATGGGAATCATGAAACAAGAGAGTCCAGAAAGAGCTTCTAATTACCCGCTAAATTTCATGCTTGACCAGCTGCTGGCACCTTTGATACATTACATTCATTAGTGTATAAACTGAAATATATTTAGTTCATTAATTACATTTTGTATCTGAAAATGTGTCTACATGTGCAACCACGCTGTTTTATCCATTGATTTAGGCTTTTTGAGATTGCATTCAAGGTGATCATGATTTGTTTCCTAGATTCAAAGCAATGGGCTCCTCTGGACAGCACCTGGGGACCCATCTCCATCTAAATAAATAGATACTCTATTAATCCCCCATGCCGGAAATGCATGTGTCCACAGCAACACAGGCAATCAGACACCGAAATAACAGGTTGGACTAGAACAGTGGCAATGAAGAATGGGTCAAATTTACACATGGACAACAGTATACTTACCTTGGACATTCTATTGTACAGTCTTACAGGCGAAGGAACACATGTAATTTATACTCTAGAGACATAGACTTCCTTTTGCTCTATTTAAATCAAATCCCCTTGTAATCTTTGACATAATTTGACATCAATGTTCATATGGTTCTGGCTGGTGAAGGAATTGGTAAACTAGACTGACCAATCAATACATGCACAGGACTGAGCTACAAATGCTAATAAATCCTTTTAAAATCCTCATTCAGTCGCCGTCTCCTCTTGAACTTCCTCTTCAACATATGCACCACTTTGCCACCATGTCAGTCTGCAACTTTTAATGCTCTTAAGTCTGTCTGCTTACAGTATGAGTCGCTCAAATCCAAATATCAAAAGTTTCTGCAAACGTGTGGACAGCTTCATTATTACTGCTTGTTCTGACTTTGGGGCTCTCTTTCCTGTTCCAGACATCGCTGTTGTGGACATGAGTGACGTGTTTCGGCAGCCCTCTCTGTTCTACCACCTGGGAGTGAGGGAGAGCTTCGACATGGCCAACAACGTCATCTTATACCATGACACTGATCCAGACACTGCGCAGTCACTCAAGGTACACCTGAGTTCCCCCACGTATGGCAAGTCAAGCCATATCAACTCTCTGTCATTGAGTATGTATAGAAAGCAATAGTGAAAACCGGATCCCTTGACAAGTCCTATTTCATGAAAACCCAGGCATTTTCTCACACACAATTTTTCACTTCTCGTGTTTCATTGTTGTGTTTGGTTTTATTACAGTCTGCAAAATCAGAAAACATGGTGCATTTAACTGTGCTGTGGAAATGACTTGCACTGCTGCAGTTGAGCCTGTTATAACTTGTATAAATGTAACTCTGCCCCTTTTAGCTTTTAGACTGAAGGGGTGGAGTTACATGTTTGTGCCAGATGTTCCTGATATGAGTGTGGATGGATCTAAAAGCAACCTCAGGTCTGTTTGATGAGAGAAAATAGTTGTAACATGGTTAAAAGCTCCTGTAGTCTATTTTGCCTAATATGAAGAACCCAATTTATCCTACTGGAAAAATATTATAATTATAAGAATCCAAAAACAAAACTCAACTGAATGTAAAACAGGGGACAAAGACAAGAATCAAGGATTAAAAACACAATGGACTGACAAGAGAGCACAGGGGATTTAACTGAGGCCCTGTCTCAATACCCACACTGCACCTTACACTCCTCTATGAAGTGTGTAATTGTTTGAAGTGCACGCAAGGTTTTGAGTGTGCAGGTTCCAAACGACAATCAACATAACTTGAAGTGAAACCCAAAAAAAAAAGCAGGAGAACAGAGAATACAAAATAAAACAGGAACTACAAATGACAACCGCGACAATCCATCCATCCATCCATTTTCTTCCGCTTTATCCGTTGCCGGGTCGCGGGGGCAGCAGTCTAAGCAAAGACGCCCAGACTTCCCTATCCACACACACTTCCTCCAGCTCGTCCGGGGGGACCCCAAGGCGTTCCCAGGCCAGCTGGGAGACATAGTCCCTCCAGCGTGTCCTAGGTCTTCCCCGGGGCCTCCTCCCGGTGGGACAACCACGACAATGTCTTTGTTTAACAATAAATCCCTGTAAACTTAATAACCCATGTTATTGTCTTGCAGGACATGGTGGCTCAGAAAAACACAGTAAGTTTCCGCGTTGTGCACATGTGTGTTGAGTTACTGCTCGGCTCTATTCGCAGCCCTGATCCGTGGCATCGCCAGTTGTTACTCACTCAGCAGACATGCACATGCTTTTCTCTTTCAAGCAACACAACAACCACATGGCCACTCTTTTATTCTATTAATATCCTTACTGTTTTTCTCTCCAGTCATCTGATCTCTCAAAACTGTTGTCTGTTTGTGTTGGTGGCATGTAGGCCTGTCGCTCTGTAGCACTAGGTTTCCCCTGGGTTCAGTTGCCTCCAGAATACAGGGGCTCTGGATTGAGAAACAAAGTAGGTATACCATCACAGTAGCACCCATAGCATGTGATGAGACACTAATGTTTGACGAGGAGTGACTAATAGCTTTGCTAATGACCAGTGTGTGCTTACAGACATTAATGAAAGTAATTAGATGTTATAGGTAGCCAAAAACAACAACCGTGGATGGGGCACAGGTAAATGCTTGTATCAACACATTTCTAAACAATTATTATTATTATTATTATTTTGTCTCACCAACACAATTCTGTACAGCGCTTCATGACTTTGAGACGCTATATAAATAAAGATTACTTACTACTTACACCCAAAGACACATCCCTTCTCATTTCCTTATTTAACAGGTTCACTGAAACCGGTCTGAATGAGTTCTTATAACGGCACTGAGGCACTCTGTACCTCCTCCGAGAGTTTAATAGTTTATATTCATATTATCTATCCATGCCAGATGTGACATGTAAATTTCTCCTTTGTGAGATCAATAAAGTATATCTTATCTTATCTTATTACTGGGCTGAGTGGATAGCACTCTCGCTTCTCAGCAAGAAGGTCCCCGTGTCTGCGTAGGTTTCCTGCGGGTATTCCGGTTTCCCCTACCACTAAAGACATGTACAATAGGTCTGGCATGCGCCTCCTGTACTGGCTACTCCGCTCCCATCTCTGTGTGGAGTGAGAGACAAATGCCCAAAAAAAATAAAAAATTGTAAACCGCTTTGTGACTCTGGTCTGTGAAAGGCGGTATCGAAATAAAGATTACTTACTTACTTACTTACTTACTCTCTAGGGTCAGAGAGGCTCCTGGTCTGTCTCATACAGAATGAGGGCCAAGAGAGACAGGTGTGCCCATGATTTTCCCTCATCTAGTATTGTTTTGCCCTGATGTTGTCATTGGTAGGGCAGGGATTTTCAATTTAATGTTCTTACGTGCCCCCAATTTTTATACAGTTTGGCTTCACACATTAAAACACAACTGTTTCAAAAATTAAATATAGACATTACCTCCATTGCAACTGAGAATACATTTGTGTTATCTGTAAAATATATATATATATATATTTATTTTTTATTATAAAAGAGACAATGGTAAATCCTTTAAACATACATTAAGTTCATGTCCCATGGGTTCAGTTAAATCCTGTTATAAGTATTTATGTAATTAGTATCCTCAGGTTATCAGGTCTTCACAATTGCCATATAATTACAGATTACAAATCATATTATATTATATTATCATTATCTCAAAGCAATCAAGACAATGGAAAATTGTTTTACCTCACTAGAAAAACATATCTTCATCTAAATTGCTGTGTGGTTACATTTGGGCAGTACATTCTTGACCTCATACTAAGTTTAAATAGCATGAGGCTTTCATTACATAATCCATTGCTCCCTCCTCTGCTCTCCTGGTTGCTGTTCTAATAAGCTTTAATGTTACATTTACATTTGAACTTTGTTCCCAAGTGGTATTTTCTCTCACCCATTCTCTTCCTCATGGGTGTCGGCTTCCTGTTACATGTTAAATTAGGATGACTTTATCCCATCAACATATTTTGTTGCTTTTTTAACCAACTTTAAACCATGTTGTAATACCTTTCACTCATCAAAAGCAGACTTGAAGTCGTTTTTAGTTCCATCTACAGACCCTCCGGCACAGATCGTCCCAATCTTATGCCTCTTTCTGTTTAAATGCTAAAACTTGTAATGCTTTGACAAATAGACTCTACTATTAAATGTTCCTCGCTCTGCCTCGTCATTCTGACCCCATTTTGACCGCTGTTTCCTCTCCTCAGGCCTCCAGTGGTAACTACTACTTCATCCCGTACATAGTGACGCCAAACCATGAGTACATGTGCTGTGAGAGCGATGCACAGCGCAGGGCCAGTGAATACATGCAGCCCAACTGGGACAACCTGCTGGGGCCCCTGTGTGACCCCCTCATTGATCGCTTCTCAAGCCTTCTCAAGGACATCCACGTCACGTCATGGTGGGAAACTAAACAGCCTGCATTTTCTGAGTTTTCTGCACAATACATCACATTTTATTCAACGACATAAAACAATTAGTGATGTCTATTTTGACTCTGAAACAAGACCCTTGTGGGTAAGGGGTGGCCATCAATCTAATGCATGTCAAGCCTAATATTGGCTTCCATAAAACTTCGGAGGTTTAAGTTAAACAAAACCAAAGCTTTTAAAAAAACAGGGAAACAAAAGCTCTCCTATTCCTTGTGTCCTCTACATTTTAATGGTGCAGTTCTTCATCCGATCAGCAGATGGCGATCATTACTACTGTCTTAGTGGTTTGACAACACGTGAGGCTGGTGTTTTAAAGTGTTCCCGTGATTGTATAGGTTTAAAATGCGCCAAAGGTTTTCTTCTCAGCCTTCTCCGTAGGGCTAACACACTTAAACAACTCCCACTGTAGATTTGTCTATGGGAGCAATTCCCCCCAAGCCAAAAAGCATTATGAGATTTTTGCAGATTTATGAAAAGTGTTGAATACTTTGTAATATGACACAGATAGCTTGCGTTGGTAGCTATGCAAACAACTCTCTATATAACAATATATAATCTCACAATCAGGTATGTCTTGTGATTAGGCTTAGGAATAGTTAGTTAGTTTATGATCAAGACTATTGATAGGTTCACCAATTGAGACTTGCAGATCTCTGTTAGAGAAGAAATGCCATATCTTGATTCTGATATGAACTCCCCATGTAAGGCTGAGTTTACACGGAGACAATGTGGCAGTAAAACGCTATAGTTGGATGTCGGTTTCTACCAACCGTTCATACAAAGACTGTGTTCCAGGGGGGTGAAAACGTAAGTGTTCAGATCCAGCCTGCAGAGTGGGACAACTCAGAAACGCTGCACAGCGGGAGCTCTTTCACACCCGCGAGAGGGAAAAAGGTGTGAAATCCCCCTCTGCTCTGACCCCCACCTCCGCGCTGCTCCCCGCACGTAAATTTGGACATGCGCAGTAGCGGAGAACAAACATCAACAACAATGGCGGTGGTCGCACTAACTAGCTTCGTGGGCTTCCAGCGCGGGGCAGAGGATAATTCTACTCCTTTGTTCGTCCAAACAAGACCACGCGAAGCTCTAGGTTCAGTTCCCATGTTCACAGCTGCTGTTAAAATGCAGAATGATGTTGGTGCGTTCTGAGGGTCTGGCACAGGAAGTGAATATACTGCCGGGAGGGGGGCTGGGGGTCGTGTGTCGTGTTGTAAAGTTCCTCTGCCCACTACTGGCCGGGCGCTAGCACTACATCGTTTTTCAACCTCATGTGAACGCTGAGAAATTTGCATTAGGAGCCAGGTCGTTTCTGTTAATAGCCTGGAAACGTCTGCGTAGCGTCTCAGTATAAACAGGGCCTAAGTGTCTAAAAAGTGACCAATTTTCCTTTCCTTTTTCATTTTTAACTCTTTCCCACAGTGCTTCCTTCAAAGACACACTGCTGAACGACATCCGAAAGGCACGAGAAAAGTACCAGGGGGAGGAGCTGGCCAAAGAGCTGTCAAGAATCAAACTGAGGATCGACAACACTGAAGTGCTCACACAGGACATTGTTATGAACCTGCTCTTCTCTTACAGGGACATACAGGTGCCTATACTCAATATACACTCATACAGGGACATACAGGTGCCTATACTCAATATACACTCATACAGGGACATACAGGTGCCTATACTCAATGTACACTCATACAGGGACATACAGGTGCCTATACTCAATATACACTCATACAGGGACATACAGGTGCCTATACTCAATATACATTGAATTTATACGCAATTTATATGTAAAATCCACCTTTGAATATTTGCGCAAAGACGTCCAGTGTGCACAATAGACAACAAAAGACACAAATCAATTGACAGTGTTAACATGCACTCAACATGTGACCATTAATACTATTCCGTCATGTGTTTTCTGTTCAGGACTATGACGCCATGGTGAAGCTGGTGCAGACTTTGGAGATGTTGCCGACTTGTGATTTAGCGACACAACCAATGATTCAGTTCCACTATGCATTTGCACTAAACCGGTGTGTACACTTTTTATTGATTCAAAATATCGATTGAGCAATCATTGTTTGAGTAGCATCGTTTGTACGTAAGGCAATTAAAAGAGCTTTGCAATACACTTTAGATATATTGAAAGCCAAAATGCATACTCTACCTGATTTTCCTTCTACCTTCTACCATTTATATATTTTAGGTAAGACTTTCACTTTTGCATAAATAAGAATGGGTGGCTATGGTTAGTGCCAATCATTATGTGTATAGTGTTTAAAAAAAAACTGTAGCCTCACTTGGACTAAGAAAAAACAAAAACACCCAAAAAATGAGACCCAGGATTTTTTCGGGCTTCTTCCTTCCACACTGTGAACATTTTCATTTTGCTCTACATGGCTAATCTTGCCTGGGAGCACTGCACTGTGACTTTAAAAGTTTGTTTTGATCATTGTATATTGAGACACTCCTGTCCTCCCTTTGGTGAGTAGCCAACATGGGTCCAAACAACATCTTTCCCACTGTTCTTCTAGGTTGTCACAGCATTATGCAGTATGACAACCAGAACTCATTGCTTTAATATTACTGCTATATACTAGACCTGCAATGCTTGTCAGATGTCTCAGAAATACTCTGATTACTCTGAAAAAAAGACGACCCTCGCTATGCTTGTCTATCCTTCTACCAAAAGTGCCATTAAATTATCCTCATTAGGTCTCACATTTTGACCTTTAGACATTTCTATAAAAAGCTATAATTGTTGCTCTGATTTGTGGTGAAGGCGGAACAGCCCAGGGGACCGGGAGCAGGCCCTCAGAGTGATGCTTCAGGTGCTGCAGTCCTGCGAACACCCGGCTCCGGACATGTTCTGTCTCTGTGGACGCATCTACAAAGATATATTCCTTGACTCTGACTGTAAAGACACCAAGAACAGAGACAACGCCATACAGTGGTGAGGGAGCCGCTTATTTAGAGGGATGTGACTGTGTTGAGATACAGGAATCAGAATATAAAAGATTGTAGCAAAGGCTTGTGGGGGAATACCTTGGAGTCAATACTATGTTTGGAATCCACTTAAACTGATTGCAAATAGATCGACGAATATGATTTACAGAAGTTTGGCAAAATCTCAGTGTTCAGTGTGTGTTGTGCTCTGTCATCTTCACCTAACTTTCAAACCTCTAAAAATGATCTACAGTATGTAATATAATTTATCAAACTAGTTACTTACTCTATAATAGATTGGTTATATCGCTAAACATTTTTGGCCTCTGTCACATCTTTAGTTCAGCTTTTTTAGAGAGATTTTGAAAACCAGACCAACCTCACTCAGCCAATTAGATTTCAGCCCTCACAGGGCTCCTCTTGCAAGCATGCAAAAAAATACTATTTTCTGATTAGGTGAATACTGGCCTAATGTATGGCCTAATGCATTGTACCTAAAAGGTGTCAAACAGTCAATGATGACATCCGTGGCTTATTAGTACATTTGAAATCTCAATATTGATCTAAAACATAAAAGAAAAAGATTTTTTATTTTTCCCTCAAAACAAAAATGCTGCATCACAGAATACTCAAACATGGATGAATGACATAAGGACAAGTGTGATTGTGTGTGTCCAGAAACATAATTGTCACATTTCTTCCATCTTTTTGCAGGTATAGAAAAGGGTTTGAGCTGCAGCCCACTCTCTACTCTGGGATCAACCTCACAGTGCTCCTCATTGTGGCTGGACATCAGTTTGAAAACTCCATGGAGCTGAGGAAAATTGGTGAGTTTTTTACAACGTCATATTTTGTAGCTGCCTGAATCCATGGATTGTTTTGTGCCTCAGGAGTCCGGTTGAACAGTCTCCTCGGTCGGAAAGGTTCTTTAGAGAAGATGAATAATTATTGGGACGTGGGTCAGTTCTTCACCGTCAGTATGTTGGCTCATGATATCCCCAAAGCCACGCAAGCAGCGGAGAAACTCTTCAAGCTCAAGCCTCCAATCTGGTGACGACCACTCCTGCCTTTTCTTTTTTCAGCGACAATAAATAAAGTAGTAGTAATAAAGAGTAGTAGCTTATTAGTCACTCGCCTCATTAGCTTAAGTCTTTTTAACAGTTTAACCTTTTTAACCTGATGTATAACGACTTTAAAAATCACTGAATACATATTTTGAAGACCGCTATTAGAAAATGGGTTGATAGACAGATAGATACTTTATTGATCCCTGTTGGAAAAATGCAGGTGTCTTGTTGCAGAAACACATTCATGCATACAAACAAAACAAATAAATACATGATTCGAAAAGTTACTAACAAAAGTAAAAGCAGCAGCAGAGATGGTGTAGCCGCTGGGTGGAGCAGGATAAGTCTCAATAGCGAAGGTGGAACAGCTGCTTCCTATCCTCTGGTTGATGTATTCACAGTTTGTTTGGTTCGGACCATTTTCTCTGCTCTGGTCCAGAGTTAAATGTTGAATGCTTTATTTGCATTTAGAAAAAAAAAAACCCCACAGCTTTCCTCTAGTGGATTTTTGCTTGATCTGCTTGGCTGCATCCTCTCTGCTCTGGTCTGGATCAAAATATAGCTAACATTGACTTAGGTAGCAGACTTGATCAGAAAAGTTGCACAATGCACTTCTAAGCTTTCCTTATAGTCGATGTTCCAGGACCATGCATATTTGAAGATTGTCAAAACCATTGTTAGACTTACTGTTACTACAGTAAGTTAGACAGACATAAGGGAATTGAACAAAACACATTTCAATGTAATGTTAAAAAAATACATGAATTCTAATGAGTTTCTTGTGCAGGTATTTGAAATCAGTGGTCCAGAACTTGCAGCTGATTCAGCGCTTCAAAAAGCAGTCTATTGAACACTCCCCTCTGAAAGAGAGACTCAACTTCTGGATGGACATAATAGTAGAAGCCACACAGGGCACCACCAACCGCCTCCGATTTCCAGTAGAAATATAATTACATTTGTACCCAACAGTTAGCATTAGTGATTTGTCTTTATAAGCCATTTTGAATTGACAGGTGTTAATTTTGGAGCCGACAAAGGTTTACCAGCCGTCTTACGTGTCCATCAACAACGAGGCTGAGGAGAAGAACGTGTCCATTTGGCACGTGTCTCCGGCAGAGACGGTAAGTGCATTTCAAATTTTTCAAACGTTGACCCTGTATCTTCATTTGACACGCTAAACATTACATTTTTTCAGAAGGGGATACATGAGTGGAACTTTACTGCGCTGTCCATCAAAGGAATCAGGTTAGAGTCAGATTATTGTGGAGTCTTTGGGCTGTGAGAGAGAGAGAGTGATCTGGTATTTGATCTTATCGCCTGTTGGAAAAACAACAGACAGACAACATGCTGCTAAAATGTGAAAAGCACTTAAAGAATGCAGACCTCCGCCAAGAGGTGCAGTTCCACATTCTGCATTCAGACAGTGATCCGTTTCCCTTTCAATATCAAATTTGTTGTTTAAAAAATCTGGAACAGTTTTTGAGTTATATTTTCTAAAGAAAAAAACCCTCCTGGTGGAGGTAATAAAAAAATGCGGGAGCGGATTTTCAAACAGAAAGGAAGAAGCAAGTATTTGAATATGAACTTATCCTGCAAACTGTTTAGCACGTTGCTAATTATCTCTGTCAGGGGGTAATGTTTTCACCAGGGTTATTTGAACTCAGAGTAATGGTCAAACTTTAATGAACATGGAACCAATGGTTTTTATTTTGTAGGAGATCCAGATCACTGTTTGGATCCAAGGTTTTATTTTGTTTAAAAATAAGAACTGCTTAGAGGTCTGCGCTTCACAAGTCCTTTTCTAGTTTTTTATATATTTTAAAAATAATACTAGAAATTCTTTCATTCAGTTTTTCTTACAATTCTATTTAAGCTACTGAAAAAACAGTTTGGACCAACTTTTCTGTGTGACCCTCAATATTTGTGCATTTCATTAAAAGAAAATATGTGTACTTTTTTCAATTTCACGCGTTCCCGTGCCCCAAATCGGTTTTAACACATTGTCCAACATTAATACAAGTACATATAGAGCTAGAAGAGTTGTTTGCTCAACCTTAAGTTAATTGTATAATGCTTTATGCTCTTCCAGTATCAGTAAGTTTGACGAGCGCTGCTGCTTCCTGTACGTCCACGATAACTCGGACGACTTCCAGATCTACTACTCGACAGAGGAGCAGTGCGGTCGGTGAGGCTCGTCTGCTGTAGATGTGTTTGTGTAGGTGTCTGTGCTGCGGGGCCAGGACTGCAGACCTCACATGTGTTTCATTCAAACATGTGTTCTCTTCATGGTCAGATTCTGCTCCATGGTGAAAGAGATGATTTCCGACGGCACTGGGAACGCCGTGGAGCTGGAGGGAGAGCTGGACGGAGACACGCTGGAAGTAAGTGCTGACGACAAGATGGAGAAAAACACAAGTACAAAATCTAACTTTTCACATACAATAGAAGTTTTCTTTTACACATGCTATTTTATTTTTATAAGTTCATAAAAATACTTATTACTACATACAAGTTGTATTATAATCCGTAATTTAATTGAAAACTTGAGCTCACTGATTCAGCTTGTGTATGAATTCAGCCCGTAAAAAGTGCTGAGTAGAGACTTAGCGTGACGCCCGCTCTCCTCCACTCACAGAACGAGGCGTCTTCCTCTAGCCTCTACACCGCTGATTAACACAGCAGCATGTTAGCAGAATTGGCTATAACTTCTCTCGCTGTAACCGCAGACACAGCAAAACAGCCCAAATGACACAACAGTGAGGAAGAGAAGAGGGAACTAAAGCGAAAAAATGATAAAAGAAGAAATCAAGCCCGCGTGAACATAGCTAGCTTACATTGTATCCTCTGGAGAGACTTGTCTATGGGAGAGACCTGCGGGAGCGGTTTATCTATGCTCGGACTACATTCGGATGAGGAACTAGCGGAAATCTTTCAGTTATATATTTTGTCAGTAGTGTGTTGCTTTTGTACCATTTCATCAGTGATTGTTGTACAGCTTACAAGAAGTTGCGCTCATGCTAATGTTTGCATATAGATTGCAAATAAAAGTAAGTAAGTAAGTAAGCTTTATTTATATACCGCCTTTCACAGACCAGAGTCACAAAGCGGTTTACAATTGCTATTTTTTGGGCATTTGTCCTCTCACTCCTCACAGAGATGGGAGCGGGGTCGCCGAACAGGAGGCGCATGCCAGACCTATTGTACATATTTTTAGACACGGGGAGAACATGCAAACTCCACTCAGAAAGGCCCTGGTTCGGCCAGGATTCGAACCCAGGACCTTCTTGCTGAGAGGCGAGAGTGCTATCCACTCAGCCACCGTGCCGGCCAAAACTGGTTGGCTCCGTGGAATGAGAGCGTAGGGGAAATGAGAAGCCTGTGAGCGAGTTGGGGGGCGGTGCTAAACATTCAAACCTTGCAGGAACGGGTAAAGCTCCTTTAAACAGTCAAACATCAACATGTTTTTTCCAACGCATTCAAAAGTAAATATTACGTAATTGTTACATTTTTAATCAAAAATCAAGTCTGATATTCCTTTTTTTTAAGTTTAAAAGCATACTTTAAGTTTAAAAGCGTACTTTGTGCTTACATTTGTTTTTTTCAGTATGAGTATGACACTAATGAGAACGGGGACCGCGTGGTTTTGGGCAGAGGCACTTATGGAGTCGTGTTTGCTGGGAGAGACCTCAGCAACCAGGTCCGGATCGCAATCAAGGAGATCCCAGAGAGGGACAGCAGGTCAGACCAAACAATATACACATTATGTTGACTTTTTTGTGATTTCTGTTATTGCATTTCCTGTGTTTGATCACTTGTTGAAGAATGGTGTAAAGTCCTCAGAGATGAATGTTCTTGTAACTTAGGAGTGTACACAAATACATTGAATTGAATTGAATGGAATTTAAAAATAAAGCTGCCCGTAATAAATGCAAGCTGTCATAAATGCTGCTTATTGGTGTGTCTGAAGGTATTCACAGCCACTGCATGAGGAGATCGCCCTTCACAAGTATCTGAAGCACAGGAACATTGTTCAGTATTTAGGCTCCGTTTCTGAAGACGGATACATCAAGATCTTCATGGAGCAAGTTCCTGGAGGTAAACTCTGCATTTCAATAGAGAACCCTAATTTTATTGTAGATTTCTGAATGAATGAGGAGTATTAGTATAGCTATAGTATAGATTATAAACATTTGAATCTATACTGACAACTGACTATTTTATTAAAGCTTGTTTTCATAACTTTATTTCTTTATGTCATGTTATTTATCACAGAAGAACACAGCATGCTGTCATCTTATTTCAACATACTTGTATGAAAGAGCCTGTGACACTATTTGACTCTTTGGGCTAGCTGTTAGGCTGAGTGCAAAAGCTGATCTCAAGATGGGACAGAGGGCAACGTAACGTATCAGAGTATGTTATACATTACATGTAAAAACAAGTGATAGAACCAAACTGTTTAGGAGTCAGGAAGTAGATGGAAAGATAGATAGATACTTTATTGATCCCCCGTAGGAGAAATTCAGGTGTCTAGTAGCAGCAAAAACACATCCATCCACACAAAATAGCAAATAAATAAAATAGTAACAATAGTAATAGTAATAATAATAATAACAAACAGAACTTGGGGTAACAGTTGCTCAGGTGGTGGAGCATTGGCCTTTGAGCCTGAAGGTCGTGAGATTGACCTACTTCATGACTCCCACTGATGACTGCTGTCATTGTGTCCTTGGGCAAGACACTTAACCCCACTTTGCCTGAAGCTAACGCTGGAAGATCAAGTCTTCTGTAGACTCACGACCAGCAGGAGGATCAGTGAGGGGCTGGTGCTATGTGAATTGGGTGCAGCTCTGATTGCCAGCCCCCCACCCCAAAATGGATTAAGGGGAAGATAATGGATGGATGAATGGAGAAACGGAACTTCAGGTCACAGTAGCAAAGGTGTGCCATCCTCTGGGGGTGGAGCAGGACAGGTCACTGTTTTCTCTGCTCTGGTCCAAAGTAAAAGGCTACATGCTTTGTTAGCATTTTTCAAAAAGTTCGCCTTCCTCCAGGGCATTTTCGCCTGATCTGCTTGTTTCGGACCATGAATCCTCTCCGCTCCTGTTTGGACCAGTGTAAAACCCAGTGGGGGCGGGTCCCGGCTCAAAAGTGGCCAAAATGACGTGCGCTGACATCCACCCCAGGCCGATGGGGATGGACCCGGAATAAGCATAAGCCAATGCTAACATATAGCATCTTTTTACCTCTCGAAAACAACTTTACAGGATGGTCCAATTTTTTTTGGACCAGTCTAGTTTACTCGCTGTGAATTTTTGAAGTCACTCGTTAAAATGAATGGGGCTCGCGCCGGCACCGTTTTTTCACATTTTCCAGCCCCCACGGCCATTTTGAATCACTCCATGAAAGCCCAATTTTTGGCCTATTAGTTAGAACGGCGGAGATAGGCGTGACTACGTCTGTTAATATATACAGTTTATGGTAAAACCATGAACACTGTACTGAAGCAACCTTTCAGGTAGAAATAAGCAAGAAAAATAAAACTGTTTTAAAGCTACTTAGAGCTTTGTCCTGTTTCCAGGGCATTCAAAAGTACTCTAATAAGTTAAAGTTAAAAAAAAATTGGCGGCACGGTGGATAGCCTCTCAGCAAGAAAGTCCTGGGTTCGAATCCTGGTCGGAACTGGGTCTTTTTGAGTGGAGTTTGCATGTTCTCTCCGTGCCTGCGTAGGTTTCCTTCCCCTACCACTAAAAACATGCTCACTAGGGTAAATCCTCCACATCCGGTAGTCCTGACCAAGCCAAGCATCAAAATCTAGAGATGGGTTCCCAGGCGCTATTCTACGGCGAGCACTGCTCCTGACGTAAGCCTTTGCGGCATCAGGATGGGTCAAATGCAGAGGATTGAATTGCCCTACGGTGATGAATAAAGTGCACCTTTACCTTTACTTTTATATTTACCTTTACCCCGGCACTAGTCATAATAGCCTCAGTGCAATACTGTAGATACAGTACACCTGTGTGAATGACATGAACAATTATTAATGTACCATAATGTAGATTGATGAAAAAGAATATACTTTTTTCAAGTTATTACTTTTTTCAATCTTCTGTGATTCTGCAAAGAAAGGCCACTGCAGTCCCCATCCCATAAAACCTTTTGAACGCTGCTTGTCTTGTGTCTGCAGGAAGTCTGTCTGCTTTACTAACATCCAAATGGGGTCCGCTCAAAGAGGCCACCATCATCTTCTACACACGACAGATCCTGGAGGGGCTTCGCTACCTGCACGAAAACCAGATTGTACACAGAGATATTAAGGTAATGTTAAAGTATTTTTACTGTACTGGGTTTTAAGCAGTTTTATTTGTCAAATGTTAATTGTGTTCAATGTTAAAGTGCATTTAAAAGGTTCTTATTACTCTCTTGGATTGATACATTTGTTACATTAGGAGTTATTGCTTTATACACAAAAAGGAATAAATGCATGGGTTGAGTAAAGTAGCATAATTTGAAATATAATCACCTCATGTTGTCATGATTTTGGACTTCTGTTTTCTTTGAAGTAATGGCCTTCCTTTTTGTTTTTATAATTGTTTCTGTCTGTCCTTATACTAAAATTAGGGCTGTCAAACAATTATTTTGTTGCTGTTGAATAATCGCAAATAATGTTAACTAATAACGTTAACTCACGATTAATCGCATTCTATTTCAAATCCACTCCAATTGAAGTTAAATGAGATTATCAAATGTAATGACACATTGTGATTCATACCAGGGCGACAGTAGCTCAGCTACCACGTTACCGCAGCGCCGTTCGCCATCTTGTTGTTAGCGGCTCACAGCCGCTGGAGGTGGGAACCGCTCTCCAGAGCGGCCGCGGCTGCCCCGGGTCAGAATGCTGCGGCCACGGAGGAGGCTGACTTCAGTTCATAGCAAAACATAACAAACAACAGCAAGTACTCACCCCGCGGTCACGCACATATTCTTTTAAAACTTTAATTCTCAGAGGACCTACCTGCTCTGTTGCCATCTCACACACGCATGTGTCCGCAGCATTCTGGAGATATTATGGGATGCATGGGCGGGTCATCCGGACATGCGTTAAACGCGTATTATTATTTCATTGTTTTACGCGATTCATGAAAATTTTGATTAACTTGCGTTAACGCGATCATTTTGACAGCCCTAACTAAAATGTAGGGTTACAAGTTTTTATTCATAAAAATGATATTCAGTCTCACCAGTCATCACAGCCACCACCAGTGAGATTTGTAACTAGTTTTATTTCTAGAATTATTTCGTCCAATCAGTGATTAACAATAAGTGGTTTTAACATTTCTTCATCAGGGAGACAATGTGCTGGTGAACACATACAGTGGTGTTTTGAAGATCTCCGACTTTGGGACGTCCAAACGTCTGGCTGGAGTCAACCCTTGCACAGAAACATTCACTGGTAAATGATACGTTTCCATTTTCATTTCAACAGACAGCTACAGTATATTGTCCCAAATCACTCGCAAGTTTTGACCGCTAACTTTTTAAGATTTATAGAGCACCTTTTATAAGTAATCATTTCCAAACTGCTGGTACTTTTCAGAAGGTTGGGTCAGGATTGTGGTTATTGTAGTAAGAGGGGAAGAGATCAGAGCAGAAATTACTACAAATGCTCAAACTTCTGTAATTCAGTTGATTTTGGGTATAAATTGTGGATAGTTAACTGTTGTTCTTGGAATTGAGTATTCTACAACCTATGATGTTTGTGCACAATCTCATTTACACCAGTCGTCCTAACACATTCAGCTCTGTAACATCTCTTTTTATTTGCCAGAATTGAGAGAATACACAGACTTTTTTCAGTTTTAAATGTTTATATTGATCCGGATTTGGATTAAAATACTCTGGATGTGGCACTCAAGGACGTTTGACGTATCTCTCTGAGTCCAGGCCTCCTCTGCAGCTCCGAGGAGGAACCAAAGAAACAGGTTCCTCTCGGTGCACTGCCGAACGGAACCTTTTAAGTGACGAACAAAAATATCTATTTATCTGTGTCTTTTATCCGGATATAAAAAGAGAATGATGACAGTTATACAGCTACATTGAGAATTGAAGCACCTTACCAACCCCTTGTATAATCAGAATCAGAATCATTTTTATTGCCACGTAAGTAACAGGAAGTCACAGACTTGGAAATTGCTTTGGCTCAGTGCAACAGTCAGAAAGAGATAATAAACAATGAAGAATAAAAACACTTCTAAGGAATAAATTTAAATTTAAAATAGAGTGCACACAATGTAAGGTGACAGCAGTACAGTGAAGTAAAGTGACTTTATAAAGGGCGGGGGGACAGGTTAAGAAGTGTTCAAGAGTCCAACAGCAGAGGGGAAGAAACTGTTCTTGTGGCGGGAGGTTCTAGTCCTGATGGACCGCAGTCTCCTGCCTGAGGGGAGTGGTTGGAATAGTCCATGTGCAGGGTGAGAGGGGTCGGCTGTGATAAACCAAGTATATTTACATACATACATACATATACTGTACACTCACTTGGACTGTCTGCATCCTTTGTGGCATAGATTCAACTGGGTACTGAACACATTCCTCAGAGAGTTTGGTCCATGTTTGATAGCAAAATGCAGTTTCTTCAGATTTGTCGGCTGCACATCCATGATACGAATCTCCTGTTCCACCACGTCCCAAAGTTGCTCTATTGGATTGAGATCTGGTGACTGTGGAGGCCATACATTCAACTTTGAATACAATGTTGAATTTACAACTACTGCAATTATGTGTATTTTATTTACTATGCCCAAAAATGATGTACATAGGGTCCAAAAGCATTTCCACTCATCCAATGATGTGAAGCGTGATGGCCTCTTATGCACCGTTTAAAGTCTCCCTCATAAAGGGCTTGTTCAGGCCGCGCTGCATAAATGGATCAAGCCACAGAAACGCCGGCCTGTCGCAGTGAAGTGTACATAACCAAATCACACTCAAAATGTCAATAGGCCCTATCAGCGTCTATGGAAACAGCCATCTGGAGCCTCTGGTTACAACTCAAGCATGTCAATAGATCTGTGAACAAAAGTGTGTTTACTTTTCATTAACAGGTGAACCCTCGTGCGCTGTTTCACAGGAAGGATCACATTCAAAGGCCAGATGTTATTAGAAGGATAAAAACACTCTTATAATTAATTTGTACAAGCTAGTATTGTTTATGTTTTATGGTCTTGTGAGAGACATGGATTTACTAAGTCATGTCAGACCATCTTAGTCAGTTCTCACCTGTGAAACGGGACACAAAACATTCAACATAGTTGATACTTTTTACACGGTTAAGATCTGCAGGCGCTTTTGCGGAAAGGAAAATACAGTATGCTGATTGCTAACTTGTGGCAATTTACAGCAAGCACGGCCAGACAGGGCCTTTTTTGTGTGGAGTTTGCATGTTCTCCTCGTGTCTGCATAGGTTTCCTCCAGTTTCCCCTACCACTGAAACACATGTACAATAGTTCAGGGTTAATGAGTGTGTGATTGTGACTGCAGGACAATGAATGCAAAGTAGCCCAAGAATACAATCCGTAGAAGTGTGTTCAATAACATGCTTTTTCCCACTACTTTTGAGCGACGCCTGTGATTCCTTCGAGGAGATCGCTTTTGAGCTGAAATGAAACGGCTGGACTGAATACAGAATGGCACAGACTTCTTTTATTTAACTTTTTTTTACATTTGAAGCCATACAGCACAACAAAGCAGACTAGCTTAGGTTGTCATTCTATGTTGACATTAAAGGGCTTCACAAAACCACAACAATAAGAGAAAATAATCACTGTGGGATTAATGTAGACCTGTTGCTACTTCCCAAAACTTATTCTTACCTTTAATTAATATAAGGTTTGTTGTCTCTCTGTCTACCAGGCACACTGCAGTACATGGCCCCTGAGATCATTGACAAAGGCCCTCGAGGTTACGGGGCCCCGGCTGACATCTGGTCCCTGGGCTGCACTGTCATAGAGATGGCCACTGGGAAACCTCCTTTTCATGAACTGGGAGAGCCTCAAGCCGCTATGTTTAAGGTAAGTGTTCAAAGGGCCATCAGAATCGTACCCACAACTGTTAATATCACACACATATTGTAGTATAGAATTTCTTGAGTTCTATGATCCCACTTCGACCTCCAGCATCAGTAGATTAGTCTGGAAGAGCAAAACAGCCATGCCTTATATGTATCAGGGGTCTCCAACCTATAGCTCAGGAACTACCAGTAGCTCATCAAAATGAAAATGACTATTTTTCAGTTTGTAGGGTCACATTGTTTGGCCTGAATAGTGACATTTACATAATCTTTACATGTCTACTTGTAATATGTATTCTAATGCAGTGTTTTTCAACCACTGTGCCGCAGCACACTAGTGTGCCACATGATATTGTCTGTTGTGCTGTGAGAAATTCGCCTTCTTTGTCTAAAAATAACTGCATCCACCATCGGCTAGTGCTGATTTGTTTTGATCTATGGAGAAACCATGTAATACTTTTTTTTTTTCTATCAGTAGAGAGCTAAGTACTATGAAACAGAAAATAATTGGATTCTACCACTGGATACACAGGTAGCGGGGAGCATGTGGCGATAAATGTAAGAATTGGACGAGACCAACAAATGTAACAGGCAGCGAGGAGCATTGCCGCAAGTGAGAAGTGAAAGTGATTGAGACGTTTTTGAAAAGGAATTATGCAATTTCTGAACAGGATTCACATCCTCCGCTCTGACCCCAGGGCAGCTGTGGCTGTGTTGTACTGACAGCCACTTTTGACAGCTACTGACAGCTCAGCAAACGCACATCCGTAGTACCGAGCGCGGACTTGTGGACAGACGCGTGGAAAGACACGAAATAGAACCTTAGACGCGCGGACAGAACTATGGACTCGTGGACAGAACTATGGACGCGCTGACAGAACCATGGACTTGTGGACAGCTGAGAGTGGATTTTTTTCCACACAGTTAGTACAATACAATACAATACAATTTATTCTTGTATAGCCCTAGGTCACAACAGAAGTCATCTCAGAGGACTTAACAAAACCATTGAAATCACCAACACAGGTCAGAGAATCAACAGTTAAAACACATGAAGAATATAAAGCACACACAGAAGAAAATGTCCATACATCTTGTAGAATGCTAAAGTGTCCTGATCATCACCAATCCTTTCTGTTGGACACTAACTGTCCAACAAGACCCTCCTGCATCGACAAGGAAAAACTCTTAAAAAACCCAGTGGGAAAAAGTGAGAAACCTTGGAGGAGAACTAGGGAAACCCACAGGGAGGGAGACCCATATGAGAAAGGGATCCGCTCCTCCGGACGGACAGGCTAATGATCTAGGACCTAAGCTAGCTACAGAACGTGGACCAGTGGACGCTGAACGTGGACAGGTCCGGTGCAGGACTGAAGCACTCCCAGGCGGGTCGGGCGGGGCAGTCCGCAGGTGTAGATGGAAGAGGCCAGGCTCAGAGATCCCGTCATCGTACCATGAAACAGACAATGGGACAACGGGTGAATAGCAATGAACAAACTACAGTCAGAATCCTAAAAATGCTAAACAGATAAAGTAGGAAGGAGGAGAGGATAGTGCTCAAGTTACCATACTTCTCCCAGCAAACTGACTCCCTATGCAGCTTGACTAACACTCTGAGGAGTTTAACCTTCTCCGAGTCTTACCTTCCTAGCCATATGCTAAACTAAAGAGGACTGTTTTAAACCTAGCCTTGAATAAAGAATAACATACAGCATAATATATAACATAATATACAACATAACACAATACATTATTGAATAATATATAACATAATATATAACATAATACAGCATATATATATAATATATACACTACATATTATTTATTACCTAATTATATGCTAAATTAAAGTAAAGTGCTTTAAGCCTGGCCTTGAATGTGGAGACCGTATCTGCTTCCTTAACATAAATGGGAAGCTGATTCCACAGTAAAGGAGCTTGGTAGCTAAATGCTCTGCCACCAACAGTGACCTTTGAGACCTTAGGGACCACCAGACGTCTGGCGTTTTGTGAGCGCAACGCTCGACCTGGTTGATACGACACTAACGTGTCTTAGTGCCACTTTATTCCCAAACTCTTGTTAACTCATTGTATTGAGAAATATTAAACAAAGCTTAATGTCAAGGCCTGGATGTCTATTTAAGCTCTTTGATAAGAATGACTTTATATTGTGAATATAGGCTACAGAGTTTATATTTCTACATTTTCTTCTGGTGGTGTGCTGCTAGATATTTTCAATGAAAAAGGTTGAAAAACACTGTTCTAATGTATGTTTTTGCCGTCAGGTTGGCATGTTTAAAATCCACCCTGAGATCCCAGAGTCTCTGTCGCTGGAGGCCAAGTCTTTCATCCTGCGCAGCTTCGAGCCCGACCCCAACAAGAGAGCGCTGGCCGTGGACCTCCTCAGAGACACTTTTGTCCGAATGAACACCAAAGGAAAGAAGAGCAAGATTGCTTTCAAACCCTCAGGTGACTTGTGACTTGTTGTAACAGTTTGGAAGCACTTCAGAAAACTAAAGCCGATGGGAGTGAGTGTAAAAGTGTTATGCTCAAGCTGGGGTACCAAATTTTAAAACCACAGAAAATAGAGACGGTAATACAATCCATCTAACTCGTTCTTCACTTTCATGTATGACACATTTGCACTAAATAACATCTTTAGTATGTTACACTCCTAATGGCCTTTGGTTTCCTGTTCTTTTATGCAGTTTTATACCTGTTCTGCATCTACAGAATACGTCATCCAAGGTCATTTTTGTTGCTGCTTACCCTGACAGATTACATCCACAGTGTGTCTTTGCCAGTGCAGCTGCAGTGCGAGGCCTCCGGGGGCAGCAGCTCTGAGCACGGCTCCGTCAGTCCAGAGTGTGACTCCAAACACGATGTCTTTTTTCAGAAGAAGAAAGACTCCGGATCAGAAAGCCTCCTCAAGCCCACCAGCTCCAACTACCTCAGGTCAGTGTGGATGTACATGTCAATCATCTCTTAATGAGTGATATCTACAGCACAAAACAAAACAAAACAAAATTGTCGATTTTGAAATGTTCCACTCCGGACAATTTTGGATCTGTTGTATAGGATCGTCTAGCAAAGAAAGAAAGTAATGTTCATTTATTTAGCGCCTTTCACAGACCAGAGTCACAAAGCGCTTTACAACCGTTTTTGTTTTGTTTTTTCTCTTGGGCATTTGTCGCTCACTCCACACAGAGATGGGAGCAGTGTTGTGCCAGTTCACAGGTTTTCTGAACTAGTTAAAGTTCAGTTTATACATACTCAAAGTGAAATGTTCACGTTCAAAGTTCACAATTTTAATTCTGAACTAGTTCAAAGTACAGTTAATTTGACTTTTTTCGTGAGCTATTCAAAAAAATACTTTATTCACTCTACCAGCTAGAAATCACTAGCTCGTAAAAGGCTTTCAGATATATATATTTATATCTGAGACCCTTTTGACTCCAAAACAGACAAGATTAACATGGTTTTCAATGGGAGCAAAACTGAGTTGTCCCATCTCTGCTCATAAGTTGCACAAACAGTACTGTTTGTACTACTTATACTGTATGTCTATACTTTATGTCAAATGTAAACGGTTGGCCCTGTGTCGCTAACTCACCCTTTGTTTTCATCACGACTCGGGCACATGTGAGTCCAACAACCCATGAAAAGCACTAGCATACACCGCAACACCGAGTCGGGGTCATGGATCTATTAGGTCGGGTGCGTTCAAAGACGGTGGAAACCGTTGGAATTTTTTGTTTTTGGCGGAAAAAATGCAGAGAATACAGGAGGGAGGAACTTTCCCTTGTTGCGTTTCAAGAGAGAAAAGAAATGTCACTCAGTTTTCAATGGAAAACAAATTCCAACTTTCATTTACAGTGATGTCTGCTGTTCATGACACATAATGTGAACTAATTCACGTTCAAGTTCTTTATTAAAAAATGTGTTGCGTTGAGCGTGTTCAATGAAATTCTTTTGAACTCGTTCACACACAGCACTGGATGGGAGCGATGTAAAAAACATGGTTAAGCAGGAATTTATTTTAGTTTCCACTGAGATTCAAAACCCTTCTGTATAATTTAAAGGACACATATTATCCATCCATCCATCCATTTTCTTCCCTTTAATCCATTTCTGGGTCTGGGGGGTGGCAGTCAGAGCTGCACCCAGTACACATAGCACCAGCCCCTCACTGATCCTCCTGCAGGTGGTGAGTCCATAGGAGCCTTGAACTTTCAGTGGGGGCTTCTGGCAAAGTGGGGTTACGTGTCTTGGGTTTTATGGCTGAAAACTATATCACAATATAAGTAATTCTTATCGGTCAATAACAATATATATTGATTTTTTTATTATAAAAAAAACAAACTAAATAAATACATTTGTCGTGTCGGCTAACACACGTTAGCAGCCTTGTTTACAGTCACGGGGGAATGAAAACTCAGGCTGGAGGAATATGTTCACAAGCAGTCTCCCCCATTGTCAGTCCTGGTTTAATCCTGGTTTAGTCCTGGTTTAGCTCCTGTTTTGGTTGTTTTCGAGTGTCTTGTGTCCCCGTGACGGCACTCTAATAGCCGCACGTGCTTCCAGAGGAAAAAGTTAATCTCTTGCTTTCTCAGCATTCATCGGGTCTCTGAGTCCACTGCCTCTCCTGCACCGCACACCGGGCACGAACGTGCGTAGCTATTGACACGGCATTGAAAAATGTGCGGTTGTTGTTTTTGCATTTCCCAGAATGTTTTGCGGTTCATGCTTGGCTGTGATAGGTCGAGACGCCTCTGCCTACATCCCCCAAAATGCTGCGCGCTTCCGACTCGACACAAACACACACACATACATTTGCTTGCATATTTACAATGCATGCCTATATAGTATACAGCAGTAATTTACAATCACTCCAATCACATACGGTGATGACAGAAGTGAGGCGCTGGACACACTGGAGCATCCAAGCCTCAAACCATCAGAATACACTCTCTCATTACATGCAGACCTATTGTACAGATTTTTTTTTTGTGGTAAGTTTACCGCAGCACACAGAAACCACGCTGATACAGGAAAAACATGCAAACTCTTTGCAGAAAGGCCCGGAGGTGGAATTTAGTTTGGCTGTCTTTACAATGCAGCAAAACAAGGGGCCGATTATGTGGCATTTTTAGGCCCGAGCCCCGAACGGGGAAAGGGCTATTGTTTTTGCTCGAGAGATGTCAAATTCTGCACTTTGACCCTTAATTTCAATCCCTGAACATGCATGAAAAGTTGTAAAATTTTGCCCAAACATCAGACCTGGTGAAAAATTTGATATTTTGGTGTTTATTTTTATGGGACTCAAAAAATGCCAGAACAGCGCCACCTACAACAGCCAATGGGAGTTTCAGAGGTCAAGTTTGTCGAAGAGCCATGAAATTCGATCCAATCCGAAGGGATTTTTGATCAGTGAAACGTTGTTTGAGCAGCAAAATTTGTTTTTTTACCGTTTTTCACAACATTAATTTTGCTCCCGTTTTCACAAACAAAGTCTGATTTGCACAAAACTTTAATCAAATGTTCAACTCCAGGGTTTAGGTCAGGTGAAAGTGAAATATTTGAAATTGGCCCAATAGCGCCCCCTACAGATTGAGGCAAAGTTTTACATGGGGTGCCAAACAGCTCTAATCATCATATTCATTACAATTTGACTAACGTTCTTCTATGGCAACAGCAAAAAATCATCACACGGCGGCCCCACCTCCTTTGCACGGTGCTGCGTGGTACGGTGTGGTGCGGCGTAGTGCGGGGCGTTGTGGAGCGGCGCGTTGCAGCTTGGTGCGGGGCGGCTTGGTGCGGGGCGGCTTGGTGCGGGGCGGCTTGGTGCGGGGCGGCGTGGTGCCGGGCGGCTTGATGCGGGGTGGCTTAATTCGGGACGGCTTGGTGCGGGGCGGCTTGGTGCGGAGCGGCTTGATGTGGGTGCTGGGCGGCTTGGTGCGGGGTGGTGCGGCTTTAATTTTTCTTCCTTCTGTTCCTGTTTGTACATGTTACTTATGACATATATATGATTTTACAGACATAATATATGATGCATGTATGTAATATGATGACATGAACAAATTAATAATTACATAAATAAACATTCTAAAACATGAAATAGAGGCAAATACTCTAAAGATTTAAGGGCCAAACGACCACACATATTGCTGGTCATGTTGTGTCTTTGCCCTGGAGTCTGGATGACAGCTGGTCCCATGCGACACTCGTTCACCTCTCTGCCTTTTACAAGCCTCACATAATGAAAGCAGATTTTATGGTCCTCCTGGCTGGTCGCTACGCACACATTTGCCCTCTGAAGCTGACTCATTCATGCCTCCCCCACTTCCCCGTTCTTCCAGATCATTCCATCCTAATTCTGTCCGGTGTCACCCCACTCCCGCTCACCCCTCGTTCCTTGGCACACATTGTAGCCAGGAGCAGCGTGCATCTGTAAATAGACGTCTGCTCTTGTCGCAAAGTTGTAAATCACTTTTGAGGCTTTACTTTTGGAGCATTACTCAAGAGTGGTCATGTGATCCATCTTACAGTCTGAATGTGAATTTTAGGAATTGATGGTTCAGCTATGTAGTTATATTATTTTGTGTAATGTTTATAAATAAATGTTTGATCGATATTCATAAAAGAAGCAAATAACGTGAGGTTAAAATTGAGGCTATTGTCCCTATATGGAAATTGGTCCTCTTGTCATGCATTTGGCCCAACCTTCAAAGCCACTCGGGAAACCTGCTCAATAGTTCAAATGAAGGAATGCTTATCAACATTTATACTACAGAACTATTTTAATATTGAACATTGTTGTTGGTAAAAAAGTACGCTTTTCATGCTAAATCTCGTGGGAAAATATGGAAAATGTATATCCATCCAATCATGCGTATCATCATGTGTTTTTGTAAAATGTGTTGATCCTTGTGGTTTTGTTCATGTTGCAGTGTTCCTGACGAGGGTTCATCATCTGAAGACCGGAACATCCCCCCTTCTCCTGACGACCGAGACGGAGGTCTCTTTCTGCTGAAGAAAGACAGTGAGAGAAGAGCCATTCTCTACAAGGTCCTGAATGACGACCAGGACAAAGTCATCTCCAACCTCAAGGAGAACCACATCCAGGTATCTCTCTCAAGAGGGAGATTACATGACAGGCTTTTCACAGCTTTGAATATGTTATGCTCTTGTCATTTGCACACTTTATAATTTTTATATATATTTGAGGCTTTTTACTCACTCACTTTATTTGCGTTCTGAGCTGAACGTTTGAGATCACCATATTACTGTGACTTTCGTGATTCTGTCCTGAAACAGCAAGACAGAAAATGGATGGTGCAAACTTCTCTTTTCTTGTGCAAGCTTGATCCTGTCAGATGGCACATGGCGGAAGCTAAGCAGGACAGGGCCGGGTTAGATCTGTAAGCTAAGTCACACATTGCCTCATTTTAGCCGGATGTGTGTGTGAATCATCGTGGTGTTTGGAGCGGCTGGTAGCACATATTTGTAGCCTTACCTCTTTTAGTCTATCCTAGGGCAGCTGTGGCTACAGTCAGAGTTTCATAGTAAAAGGTGGATGAAAAATGCTGTGTGAAGAGTCTCTGAGTGTCCAGAAGAGCACTGTATGAAGCGAAAGCATTATAGAATATTACTTTGTTACATTGTCTTGAATCGGTCAATTTTCTTAAGGGAGACATATACGTTATTGATCTGTATTTCAAAAATGGAGCAAATACTAATGAGCCATGGGTTTCAGAATTATTAATATAAATCAGGTGTGCCTTCTTTAACATAAATTTTAGTTATTGTTACGATCATACAATACATTTTTACATTTTTACATTTCAGTCACTGCACTTTAAACAACACGGCCCATGGTCCCACAGTAACATGAGCCAGGACAAAAGCTGCAGATATGTCCTTTTGGATGTGCCGCTGCTCCTCACAGCCAAGAGTCCTGTAACACTATCTCCTGTGTAGCCAGGGGCCAAGAGTGAGTCCTGTGTTGTCCTTGAAACCATCGTGTGGACAAGCTGCTTAGACTGCTCAAGTCTTCATGCTCTAGCATCAAAAGGACTCACATAATCTTGAACAGATTTACATATGTGATAAAAGCTAACCACACAAGATGAAACCAACAAAGAAAATTACAGAGATTGAAGAAAGTAGATCTATGGCAGCATCTAGTGGTCATTTGCAGCAATGCAAGCACTTGAAATATAGTGTTATTTAAAAAGCATTTAATCCGCTTCACCAAATTGTTTGTATTATTATGTTTGTAGTAGAAATGCAGGTGTCCAGCAGTAGAACCATATGCATCCATACAAACTACTTTACTGTTTCAAACCTCTCTTAAAATGTTCTGTTCTGCAGCGCAGTGAGAAGAGCCTTATTCAAACTTATTATCAAAACTTTTATTACATTGAAAACAAGCACTTGACAGATTTTAGATTCTCAGTTGTTTCCAAAGGTAAATTGTCACTCATCCAATAGTCCAAAGACCCACAAACAATTGTATGCACTGTTGCCATGGGAAAAAGTAATGTGTTTTTACATTCTGTAATACAATAAGAGTCCACAATAAATGTGAGTGGTGTTTCTCCACAGGGCAGTGAGGAGCTGCAGCTGTCAGTGGACCACATCAAACAGATCATCTGCATCCTCAGAGACTTCATCCACTCCCCTGAGAGGAGAGTCATGGCCGCCACCATCTCCAAACTCAAACTGGACCTGGACTTTGACTCCACCTCCATCAACCAGATCCAGCTTGTGCTCTTTGGCTTCCAGGACTCGGTAAGAAGAAAAACTCAGAGCTACAATAGATCGTGGCAGCAGATAGCTAAGCACTTCTTTAACGTAAGAAGTGGATGCCAATACCGGATGTAACAGGTAGCGGTAGCCTTGTGGCGAGAAACGTAAGAATTGGACTCGGCCAACAGATGTAACAGGTAGCAGGAAGCATTGTGGCTCGTGAGAAGACGTTTTTGAAAAGGAATTATGCAATTTCTGAACAGGATTCACATCCTCCGCTCTGACCCCAGGGCAGCTGTGGCCGATCTGTACTGACAGCCGCTTTGACAACAGCTCAGCAAACGCACATCCATTGTACTGAGCGCGCACTTGTGGACGGACGCGTGGAAAGATGCGGAATAGAACTTTAGACGCGCAGACAGAACTATGTACTCGTATTCAGGACCATCTCCCGTGTTTCTCCCGTGTCTCCCCTGTGTTTCTCCCGTGTCTCTCCTGAGTCTCTCCCGTGTCTCTCCCGTGTCTCCTCCCAAAGCGCAACCAAAAAGTCCCAAATTTTAAGCTCGGATGCCTAAATCAAACAGAACAGACAGCAGGCCTTTTTCTTTTTTATCATTTTGCATGTTTAAGAGCCCTCTATTAGGTATTATTTGACTTTTTGGGCTGAGAGTGGATTTTTTTCTATTCTTTTCCACACAGTTAGTTCCACTTTTTTCCCCAAACTCTTGTTAACTCATTATATTGAAAAACATTAAACAAAGCTTAATGTCGAAGGCCTGGATGTCTATTTAAGCACTTTGATGAGAATGTCTTTATTTTGTTAGTTTAGGCTACAGAGTATATTTGTTTACATTTTTCTCACAAAAGGTTGAAAAACACTGACTTACAAAACCCATTGTTATATACATTTTGTTTTAGTGTTTGTTAAAACTTGGGATGGAAAGGTGTTGTGTGAATCCGTTTCAAACAATTTTCCTTTTTAAATGTATACAAACTAATTGAGCAGATTGGTGATAATTCCACGCCCCTACTCTCTGGACATGCACTCATAATGATATCAAGCAATGAACGACTTGATTGAAGGATTGGGATTGAGGCTTACATCAGTGCATGCTAATTAATTAATGTCATAATTGTATGTGAAGGTCAATAAAGTGCTGAGAAATCACCACATTAAGCCTCACTGGATGTTTGCTATGGACAACATCATCCGCAGAGCTGTGCAGGCGGCCATCACCATCCTCATACCAGGTGAGACTCAGAGCTTTATCTTTACTTTGCACAATGGTGATCAGCTATTGTAGCAGCTGCCCTGGGGCCGGAAGGTTGAATCTACCTTACGGCAGGAGTGTCAACAATGCAGCCAATTTGTGTGTGTCTTCCACTTTCTGTTAAATTATGTTGAAAAATCCAAATAGTTTGGTTTTGTTGTTGGTGAGAATAGGTTATAATAAGAGTGTCAATTGTACTAAACCAGTTTAGAGTAAACAATAGGCATCTTTTACCACCAACACTGAGCGTTGATGGTATACATCGGTGTCTCCCAAAGTGGGGCCCCCCTGCAGGGTACTGCAGGGGGGCCGCGGGAGGTCATAAAAAAATATATATATATAATATAATTATTTAATGTTAAATTTATAATGTTTTGTTTGTAATATTAAAATATTTGTGTTCATTATTTGACTTGAATAATCCACTGTAATCATTTTTGTATTACAATGTTTGTAGCAGAGGCTATTTCCCCAAAATAAAATAACCGGAAGAGCCTATTCTTAATGTTGTCTTCTTGGTTATTATTTTGGGGGGCCACGCAGACCCGTCAGATTTTTAAGGGGGCCTCGGTGTTACTGAGTTTGGGAATGGCTGGTATACATAATGTACTTTTTATACTTATTTATGCTGTACTGTTACAACAGTGTTCTCCTTTGAAATATAACAATAATAATAATATTTTCATTCGCACTCGAGGGATCATGGAAGTTTTTCAAACCTCCACCTGTGCTTTTTGGATCTGGAGAAGGCGTTTGACCACGTTCTTCAGGGTGCTCTATGGGCGGGGTGTTCTGTGAGGGGGTGCTCTCTGGGGAGGTGCTCTGTGGGGGGGTGCTCTGTGGGGGGTCATTCCCCCGTCGGTTCATTGCCGGTTCTGTCTCTCTGCTCCAGTTTGTTTCACCTTCATAACTTGTTTGATTCATAACATATTCTACTCTGAAATGCGTGTCCTATGTTTCTGTCCACAGAGCTGCAGACTCATTTCGGCCCTGCCTCGGAGTGTGAAGGAGCAGAGAAGGACGACGAGGTGGATGAGGAGGAGTACGCGCAAGTTCTGGTCACGTCTCATGAAGACTCTGTGACCACCACGGACCCCTCCTCCTCCGCTGTCAGCACACTGCACTCGGGACAGTCCCAGGACCAGCAGCGCACACACCACCAGCTCAACGCCCAGCTGGGACGCCTCAAACAGGAGACCAACAGGTGCAGAGTAAAAAAAAGTCCTAAACAATAATACTGTAACATTTTGTGAAATTAAACATTGGGCATAGTTTTAACCTTTGACAACTTCTTCTAAAAGTTCTCACTTCTTTTCCAGGAAGTGGAACCAATTGAAATATTGTAAATTTATTATGTTAAGTGCTTTATTATTTTCAAGAACAGATGGTATTTTATACAAAATACAAGCTGTCAAAATGAGCTTCCTCCGCCGAGTGGCTCCCTGGGGAGGTGTTTTCCGGGCACGTCCCACCGAGAGGAGGACTGGGGAAGACCCAGGACACGCTGGAGGGACTATGTCTCGCAGATGGCCTGGGGACGCCTTGGGGTCCCCCCGGATGAGCTGGAGGAAGTGTGTGCATAGGGATAGCGACCTGGCCGGATGAAGCGAAAGAAAATGGATGGATGGATGGATGGATGTTATTTTAATTTGGAAAGAGATTTAGATGAGAAAAGTACACCTCCATTCAGCTTTATTTGATTGATTGATTGAATACCTGTTTTGAGCCATACAAGATTTTAACATTCTGCACAATACAGAAAGCACGGTATCCACTTACATGGGCAGCAAATGAAGAACAAAAGAAAACAAAGAGATCCTCCCTCTACGTCTTTGTTTTGTTTTGTTCTTGAGGACAGTTACAAGTATCTCAGCATACCACAGGCAAATGGCAACCTCGAACAGGCAACGAGGAAAGCGGCAACTGCCAAATACCTCCAGCGAGTAAAGCCTAGTTTATACTCGCGCGGTGCGGAGCTTACGGAGGTGACTTGACGTCACTTGCGCAACGCGTTGGTCACCGCAAGGCCCTTACCTTGCCTGCCGCGCAGCATCGACATTTTCTAACTACGTAAGGGTCGCCGCAAGGAATCTCCGCTGTGATTGGTCCGTGTGTGTGTATTGGAAGGAAGCATGAAGCGGCTGCAGCAGGGACAATGGACGAGGCACTATGGAGCAGAGAGCTTTGTGCTTCGAAGGAAAAGCAGTTTGGGTTCAGAGCCTGATATACAGGAGACTGTGGACTATCTAACATATATATAACTTATAAACTGTTCAGTCGTTTGTTTTGCACTGTTCCTGTCTTTGTTTGAATCGTAGCTGCGTTTGTTGCTTTCCTCCTGCACTCGTAAATCGTTCATGTTTGTCTCAGATATTTACCACTATTATTGTTTTGCTGTTTGTGCTGAAAACTATTTAATAATAACTATGTTTCCAACAAGAACTGTGTCTTTATTCACAGCATCACAGTTGAAATGACTTATAAAATAATGAATCCATAAAACTCACATAAACCTACAGTAGAAACACGTGTAATGAGCTCAAACAGCTTTGTTTGCTATTGTTGTTCTGAAGAGGACAAAGTAGCAGCGTAAATGGGACGGCTCCTGTGTGATCGCCCTCATGTGGTTTGTTGTGGGATTACAACATTCTCCTCAAAACTCCGTAAGGGGAACGCGCCAGTATAACATCAATTGTGCTTACGTAGGTCCACCGCAACCGCTAACGTAAGCCACGCCACGCGAGTATACACTAGGCTTAAGGCAGGTCCTAAGAAACCGGCTCAATGGCAAGAACAAGGCCCGGGCATTTAACAGCTGCGCCCTGCCAGTGATCAGATACCCTGCAGGAATAATCAGGTGGCCAAAGGAAGAGATCCAGACCACGGATGTTAAAACTCAAAAGCTCCTCACCATGCGTGGCGGGTTCTATCCCAAATCCAGCACCCTGAGACTGTACGTAAGCCGTAAAGAAGGAGGCCGAGGACAAGTGAAATAACAATTGTAAACCGCTTTGTGACTCTGGTCTGTGAAAGGCGGTATATAAATAAAGATTACTTACTTACTGACTTACTTAGTGAGTGTGAGAGCCACTGTCCAGGACGAAACATCCAAACTCCATAACTACATCATGGAGAAGGCCAAAACGGATGATGTACTCAGTGAATGTGTCAGTCAGTGGCGAGATGAGGAGGTGCTGGAGGAGAGCCCATCATGTGAGGACAAGCCCCTAAACGGCATGTACCACCGGAGCATAGCAGAAGTGACTGATTTCAAGAAGTCCTACCAATGGCTAGAAAGGGCTGGCCTACAGGACAGCACAGAGGCACTCATCATGGCCCAGATATACCACACCAGACAAGACCCAAGGTGTCAGTTGTGCAAAGAGGCACCTGAGACGATCCAACACATAACTGCAGGGTGCAAGATGCTGGCAGGGAAGGCCTACATGGAACGCCATAACCAAGTGGCTGGCATAGTGTACAGAAACACCTGTGCAGAGTATGGGCTGGAAACCCCAAGGTCTAAGTGGGAAACTCCTCCAAAGGTGGTGGAGAATGAGTGTGCAAAGATCCTGTGGGACTTCCAGATACAGACCAACCAATTGGTAATGGCGAACCAACCTGACATCGTGGTGGTAGACAAAGGGCAGAGGACAGCCGTGGTGGTGGACGTGGCAATTCCAAGCGACGGTAACATCCGGAAAAAGGAACATGAAAAGCTTGAGAAATACCAAGGTCTCAGAGAGGAGCTGGAGAGGGCCTGGAGGGTAAAGGTGACAGTAGTGCCCGTGGTGATCGGTGCACTCGGGGCAGTGACCCGAAGCTAGAGGAGTGGTTACAGCGGATCCCTGGAACAACCTCGGACATCTCGGTCCAGAAATGTGCAGTGCTAGGAACAGCAAAGATACTGCGCAGAACCCTCAAGCTCCCAGGCCTCTTGTAGAGGACCCGAGATTAGAGAGAGAGGGTTTTTATATATATATAAGAAGTGGGAACAAGAAGACATGTGATCCCACCCCTTGTTCCTACATTTGTAGGAACAAGGGGTGCTTAGTTCCTGGTGTTTTTCTACATACAGTATACACACACACACACACATATACCTGTACATGCATATTGATCATTTTAATGATGCAAAATCAGAATCATACTATTAGTATTAGTTGTTATTCATATCATTATCAACATCACCATATTCATAATCAACATATTATCATTATTATTATCTGTTTTATTGTCTTGTTTATTTTTATGTTTAATGTCATTTGTGTTCCTTAAATAGTTAATATGTGATGAGTTGTTAGTTTGTTATTATTATTATTATTATTATTATTAGTATCATTATTATTAATTATTTCCAATTGAGTAACACATGAAGTCATTCTGCAGAGTCTCTCTGTATGTAGTACTTTCTTTATAATACTCTGTCTTTGACTTTTCAGATTCAGATTCATTTTATTGCCATTTGCAGTAAAACCACATTAATACATTTACAAGTACATAACTTGACTGTGACTCACTCACAGCAAAAGATCCAGATTCCTTTTTGCTGAGTGGCACTTGGAGGGATTGTCTTTGTGAGTTAAGTCACTATTAAACCCAGGTTACGATGATGAAAGTCTGTGCAGGTTTAGAGCAGGAGTCATAATTAGTTCATGACATGGCAGAGAGCTAACTCCTCTGCAAGAAGAATGCAGTGACCTGGAAACTCCAAGGTTTAAGTGGGAAACTCCTCCAAAGATGGTGGAGAATGAGCGTGCGAAGATCCTGTGGGACTTCCAGATACAGACCAACCGAATGGTAATGCCGAACCAACCTGACATCGTGGTGGTAGACAAAGGGCAGAGAATAGCCGTGGTGGTGGACGTGGCAATTCCAAGCGACGGTAACATCCGGAAAAAGGAACATGAAAAGCTTGAGAAATACCAAGGTCTCAGAGACGAGCTGGAGAGGGCCTGGAGGGTAAAGGTGACAGTAGTGCCCGTGGTGATCGGTGCACTCGGGGCAGTGACCCCGAAGCTAGAGGAGTGGTTACAGCGGATCCCTGGAACAACCTCGGACATCTCGGTCCAGAAATGTGCAGTGCTAGGAACAGCAAAGATACTGCGCAGAACCCTCAAGCTCTGCTATTGTTCCCTCTGGGAGTGGACTACCTTGCCTCTCCGAGTCACCATCCTGCTACATTTCTCAAGTCCGAATGACATCCCGATGTCATGGCTGTAGATCCTGGTTGTTTGGATCAGAGAGTCGATGTCTCTCTCGCTCTTGGCGTACAGCTTGATGTCATCCATGTAGAGGAGGTGACTGATCTTTGCTCCGTTCCTGAGGCGGTATCCATAGCCAGTCTGGTCAATTACTTGGCTTAGAGGGTTGAGGCCTATGCAGAACAGTAGTGGGGACAGAGCATCTCCTTGGTAGATACCACATTTGATGGTCACTTGTGCGAGCGGCTTGCCATTTGCCTCAAGGGTGGTCTTCCACATTTCCATCGAGTTTGCAACGAAGTCCCTTAGAGCCCTGTTGATATTGTACAACTTCAAGCATTCCATGATCCATGTGTGTGGCATTGAGTCGTAGGCTTTCTGGTAATCAATCCAGGCTGTGCACAGGTTGGTGTGTCGTGACCGGCAGTCTTGGGCGACTGTTCTGTCAACCAGGAGCTGGTGTTTGGCTCCTCTGGTGTCCCTACCAATGCCCTTCTGTGCTGTGCTCATGAATTGTTCCATATGCCCACTTATCTTAGCCGCAATGATGCCTGACATGAGCTTCCATGTTGTGGAGAGACAGGTTATTGGCCGGTAGTTGGAGGGGACTGCACCCTTGACAGGGTCCTTCATGATCAGGACCGTTCGCCCTTCGGTTAGCCATTCTGGGTGAGTCCCATCCCTCAGCAGCTGGTTCATTTGTGCTGCTAGGCGCTCATGGAGTGATGTGAGTGTCCTTAGCCAGTAGGCATGGACCATATCAGGGCCAGGTGCTGTCCAGTTTTTCATACATGAGACTCTTTCTCGGATGTCTGCCTCTGTGATGGTAACTGAGTTCTGTTCTGGGAGGTGGCTGTGCTCCTCTCTCAGGGACACCAGCCATTGTGCACTTCTGTTATGTGCTGCATCCTCTCCCATATGTTCTTCCAGAACTGTTCAGTTTCCAGCCTCGGTGGGTCTGCTCCCCTGTTGTTACCCTGCCACTGAGCGTACTCCTTCGCAGGTTGTGTTGCGAACAGCCTGTTCACCCTTCTGGCTTCATTCTCTTTAGTGTACCTCTCTAGGCGGCTGGCCAGGGCTTGGAGCCTTTGTTTGGCAGTTTCGAGTGCTTCAGGTATAGTCATCTGGCTGTACTTTCTGGGTACTGGTCTTTTCATTGCACCTCTCTGGGCCTCTGTTAATTGACTCACTTCTCTCCGAGCCGCCTTGATCTTAGCCTCCAACCGTCTTTTCCATGGTGGGTATTGTCCATGGCTCCCATGGTTGCTCTTATAGCCAAGCATCTCTAGGACCACTGCTGCTGAAGTGTATATCAGCTCATTGGTTTCAGTGATTGTGGTGGTAGGTATTGCCCTCACTGCTGCATTCACGCTTTCTATGAGATCCTTAGGTGGTACTTCACACAACCGCTGTAACCGGTGTCTTTGCCCTGTTCCCATTATAGCCATGATCTTAGCTTTCAGGTGAGTCGCTGCCTCGTTCAGCTTTATCGGTTCCATTGGGGCTATGTACCCAATATCTGGTTGGGGAGTTGCAGTTGGTGGGATAACAGGGCTCTGTTGGAATGGGGATCTCCCCTCTGACCTTGGCAACTGTGGCATCATACATGTGTTGTACCTCATCAATCTCAAGCTGTGATAGCAGTTGCCGTTTGTGGATGTTGGAGCATTGAGCTACCAGTTGTTACGGGGTCAACTGTGACTGTGGGTTTTGAAGTAACCATTCAGCCCACATTCTCTGCATGTAACCTCTTTGGCCAGGGTTACTCGAGTAGTAGCATTCCAACAGAGCCCTGTTATCGCATCTCGTCCACTTTCGCCTTGTTCCAGTATAGCCCACTTTTCATCAAGGTGCTCTGGTTCCCCAGCACCTGACGCAGACTTTGTTTGGCCGGGCGACGTCTGATCTGGCATCTCATTGCTTAACTGTGCCTTCATGGTTATGAGTTAGGCAGTTAGGTAAAACCACATTAATACATTTACAAGTACATAACTTGACTGTGACTCACTCACAGCAAAAGATCCAGATTCCTGTTTGCTGAGTGGCACTTGGAGGGAGTGTCTTTGTGAGTTAAGTCACTATTAAACCCAGGTTACGATGATGAAAGTCCGTGCAAGTTTAGAGCAGGAGTCATAATTAGTTAATGACATGGCAGAGAGCTAACTCCTCTGCAAGAAGAATGCAGTGACCTGCGACACTGCATGGATGTCATTCTTATATCTTGGCTTCAATATTTTTACTGCTTTTTAATAAAACTCAACAAAACAATTGAGTTGTGTCCAAAAAAAAATCATGTTGATTGTGAATGGAGAAAAGAAGACATTAAACCAGTGCTTAATCAATAGACGTAGCTGTATTTGCACTGAGGGCTTCCTCTAATATTTATCACACATTTAGAAAAAGATTGCCAATACCTTGTTGTTTGGACCATAGTGTGTGGCTCGTTTTGTATAAGTCAGATCATATGATTGTGACAAATGGACCATACAGAAGCACCCAGGCATTTACACATTTATGATTAACTCTCAATTCAATTCATTTCTCTTTATTTACAAAACTTCATAAAGTCTAATTTCTAAAGTTTGCAAGTGCTTTGTAAAAGGGAACTTCTTGGAAGCTGCATTAGCTGATATACTCGGTCAACTCTTTAAACTTAACTAAGCCAAACATCTTGATACAAATATTTGGTTAATTTGGTAAACAAGCAGGTTACATCCCTTGACTAAGTTACACGTTAAACTGTTGAGAGACTGGAGTTTTTAACAAACTCAGTTTTTCTATAATAGAGGAATATAAACGAAACCGAGCCACATTTCCAAGCAATAATATATTTATCACAAGGAGAAGACCACCACAAAAAGAGCCAGTCCCCACCAGGAATGCACCATCAAAAGGCCATTTGCTATATTGACAAAAAATAATATTTGTAATATTATTATATTGTTTCTGTTTGTTGTTGCAGGCTGCTGGAGGAGCTGCTACAGCGGGAGCGGGAGTATCAACAGCTGCTGAAGGTCACTCTGCAGCAGAGGGCTCACGACCTGGAGCTGGTGCGAGTGAGACACAGACCTCCAGGTGCACACACAAACACACACACACACATACAGTATACACACTCTGTATATACACATACATACTGTACACATATTCACGTACGTACGCACCTACTTATGTTTATATTTTTTAAAGATTTATTTTCTGCATTCCACGGCCTGCAGTTATTCATAGTTTTATCTTTGCAGCATTAAAGAATTCTAATAAAACAATAATTTGTGAAATATAATAATAGTAGGGCTGTAAAAATTAACGCGTTAACTCACGTTAATTACACTTTTCATTAACGCGTTAACGCGTTAAAACGTCTGAATGACCTGCCCATTTATCTATAATATCACTCAGAACGCTGCATGTGAGATGGCATCAGAGCAGGCCTTCTGGGAATTCAAGTTTTAAAAAGATATGCGCGTGACTGCGGGGTTGTTGTTTGCTGTGAACTGAAGTCCGCCTCCTCCCTCTGGTTGCGAGCCGCTAGCAACAACACGGCTGTGAGTGACTGTGAGCGAATGGCGCCGCGGTAACATGGTCATATAAGACCATACACGCCACAGAACTATTGTCTGCATGTTGTGTTCGTGAGTTAACTCACCATTACTGTGCGATTAATCAACTAAAAAAATTAAATCGTTTGACAGCCCTAATTAATAGTAAGGTCCAGTCCTTATTTGGCTCATGGTTTGGTGTTGTATGTTGGGTCCAGACACTGTACATGTCAGTGTTGCTCCTACACTACACATAAAAATCCTCTGGATAAAGGAGGCCCTCAGAAAGTCTATTCCACATATCATGTCGTTTTAGTATTAGTAACATTTATACCTGTTGCAGATATCACACCGCCATCTATCTTCCACATTCCGGCAGACTTTGAACCGGACAAGGAGCTCACTGATTGGCTGAAAGCGCAGGGGGCCGATCCAGACTCTGTAGACAAGGTTTGAGTGACGGATTTCATCACTGTTCTGTGTTCTTGAGCTTCACGTTTCCACAATGGAATCTCACTGGAAATCTTTGTCAAATAAGATACAATCAGACAAAAAAATATATGTTAACGTTAGATAATGCTTTTATTGAGTATCTTGAATCATGATATACTAATGGAACAATCCAATACACAATCCAATACACTTTGATTCATGCTTATTTTATAAAACAGACAAAAGAAGCAAATGTAAACAGGTCTGCCATCTCTCTTTTATTAGGCCCGAGCGCAGAACTCGAGTAAGGGCCTATTGCTTTCACAATGGTGAATGCAAGGGAATTAAGACATGAATGTCACTTTTAATGCAATTAAATGCAATGTTGATGGTTCCATGTTGTGATATGTGGGTTTTAAGAATCACACTGCTACAGTGTGATAGCAGTTCCTTTCTTGTCGAGCTGAACTGCCGGATACGTCATTTTACTGAGATAGGCCGATGACAGCTAATAGCTTACGACTTAGTTAGATTTTGTTTATTTCCATTATCAATCCAACAGACCAGTTGTAAGACTGTTTAACAGATTTGTATCAAAATTGCTCCACATCGTCTGAACACATAGTCTTTTCTTCTTTCTTTTGTAAAATATATATTTTTCTTAATTGTTTTTCTGAACTTTTTTTGGCCAATTTGCACAAAATTTGTATCGGTTGCTTATCTGGATGTGAAAAAAAATACAGCGTTAGTGCCCCCCCACAGTGTGAGCCAAAGGTACTGTAGATATTTTATAAGCAACAACTCCTCCTCGGTTGTTTCACAGATTTGTCTCAAAATCGCTCCACATCATCAGAATCAGAATCAGAATAATTTTTATTGCCACGTAAGTAACAGGAGGTCACAGACTTGGAAATTGCTTTGGCTGAGTGCAACAGTCAGAAAGAGATAATAAAAATAAAGAATAAAAAACACTTCTAAGGAATAAATTTAAATGTAAAATAGAGTTACAGTTACTATTTACAATATACAAGTGCACATTGTGCACACAATGTAAGGTGACAGCAGTACAGTGAAGTAAAGTGACGTATGATGGGCAGTAAAGTGACTTTATAAAGGGCGGGGGGACAGGTTAAGAAGTGTTCAAGAGTCCAACAGAAGAGGGGAAGAAACTGTTCTTGTGGCATCAAAATTTAGCAACAGAACTTTGATTGGATAAATGGTGTAGAAGCAGCGGAGCAACAAATTTTGACTTTGTCAATTTTGGAAAAAAACAATTTAAAATGTGTTCCTGTTTGTTTAAACAAAGTTCGATTTGCACTAAATTTGAGTCGGTTGTACAACTCCTGGATTTAAGTCACCTAGATGTGAAAGAAATTACATTGCAGACTTAGCACCCCCTAAAGACTGATCCAAGCAACTCTGCCTCGGTTGTTTTATAGATTTGTCTCAAAATTGCTCATCTGCACACATGTAGCATCAAAAGTTTGCAACAGAATTTTGATTGGTTAAATGGTGTGCAAGAAGTAGAGCGGAAATACTTTTTTCCTCCAACTTTGAGAATTTTGAATTTTATCCTGTTTACTCATACAAAGTTTGATTAACTCCAATCTTGAATGGATTGTTCAAATCCTGGGTCTACGTCACCTGGATATGAAAAAAATGAAATTGCAGTTATAGCGCCCCCTACAGACTGAGCCAAAGGTATACATTCATCAAAAGTTAGCCACCAAATTGTGATCGGTTAAAACGGTGTTCAAACTGCGTAGAAACAGCACTTTCTTTCCCCCATCTTTAAGAATTTCAAAATTGGCTCCCGTTTACTGTATAAAAATGGGGGCAGCCACAAAGAAGGCTCTGTGCCCCCGGGGTTTAAGTATTATCTTTGGCATCTTGAGAAACCGGAGTACCCGGAGGAAACCTACGCAGACACGGGGAGAACATGCAAACTCCACTCAGAAAGGCCCTGTTCCGACCAGGATTCGAACCCAGGACCTTCTTGCTGAGAGGCGAGAGTGCTATCCACTCAGCCACCGTGCCGCTCTTTGTGTGTAGTCAATCAGAAGACAAGGTGACGTTGCGGCGAGGAAACACCGGAAAAAAATAATAACAGTCAGCGGCATGGCGCACCAGAAAGTCCGGTGGATGTCGAAGATGGAGTATAGTCTATGCTCGCGTTGCCTCCACTTCTTTTCTCTCGATAATGGGTTTTATTTAAACAAACTGCAAACTATCGCCACTGCTTCCTCTTCGTCCGCCATGATTGTTTACTCTGAAGTCACACTTGATCTCGAGAGATTTTGCGAGATTTCCTGTCAGACCTGGGAATGCTCGGGAGTGAAATCGGTTTGTTTGTGATGTGTGTGGTTTGCCTGATTTTGCCTTGTGGCTGCGCACCACACACTGTACGACCGAAGTGGTTAGACCCTTGATTTGTTTATTTCCTTGTGTGGGGTCAGTGGCGGAGCCAGACTTTTAAACAGAGGGTGGCCAGGGGGTGGCAAGGGTTTTTTTAAGGGGTCCACATTTATACTATTCCAAAATTTTATTTCACACAAAAACTGGCTAAACGATACATTTTAATCTTAATCTTATGTTTATTTTTTATATAAAGTGAACTGAAAGCACACTTGGAAACTACAAAAAAAAATACAAAAAAGCGTATTTAAAGGAGCAATATGTAAAAATCTGGCCAAAAGTGGTACTGCAGTCACAGTCAATATTTTGTAGTCCTCTCCCACTCTCCCTGACTCAGGTTGCCAGATTCACACCAAATCCAGCAGCAAACACAGGGAATTATTTTATCAGTTGTTTGTCCGTCTCCATTCACATTGCCATGACAGCCGTGCTAATGCTGAATGAATGTTTTGATTCATGTTTTTTTATTATTATAATTTGGACATTTGAGATAAAAAACAAAAACAAAATAAAAGCAATGTAATTATACATAGTTTATGCAAAATAAATAAGAAATTGATGTCCAAAATAGGAGTGGGAAGAATGGATGTTGGAACGTATTTCTTCAGCGTATCAACATCAGGGTTTGCTCAAGAGGATATCACCTTTCAATTTTATTTATTCCCTATTTTTTAGACAAACATGTAAAAGTCCCACATCAAAAAGAGACTAACATTATTTTAATTGGGGTACATGTGGTCTTAAATGATTATTTTTACAATTAAGCTATAATCTGCAAAAAAACGTCTTGACCTTCATCTTTTACCGTTTTTAGAGCAATCTGTCATAGAATGTGATCACATGCAATAAATACAAAAAGACATAGCCCGGGATCGAACATCGTAAGCGCGCAGCTTAGACCGCTAGGCCACCGGTTCACACGAACAAAGACACCGTGAAGAACGCAATGAAACTAGAAAATTCTGCATCACACGTAAACTTTTATCAGCTGTCTCAATTGTTCAAAGGCATCCCGATATAAATCCTCGTTTTAGTCTTTGTTTTGTCATTAATTATTTGAGAGTCATAACAAGACCTTTTTTAGTTCTACGCCACATGTTATTTTACCACTGAGATTAATGAGCCGCGCGGAGTTCTGGCAACTCGATCACGGACTTCCATGACACTTCCTGATTGGCGAAACGGCGGAGGGTAGGACATCAAAATCAAAACAATAACAACTTTTACGGGTCGTAAAACTAATTTTGATGATCAAATATCTCGGCTGAACTACTGTTATCAGTTAAAGATGAATTCGAAAAGAGTATGATTTAATAACGCCTTTTGAAATATTCGGGTCATTTAATGATGACTTGACATGCAAATATTACATATTGCTCCTTTAAACAGTAGTCTGAACAAAAAAGTGCAAAATAACATCATTCAAACATTGCATTACATTTTTCTTTTAACAAATTTAGCAAATTCCTGCGGTTCTGGTGTAAAGCAGCAAAGATGTTGACAAACTCATCCATATTCAGCCCTCCTGGACTCTACACTGAGGATACCAAGATGACTCAATCATCTGCCATGGTAGTTCTGAGATGGTCTTTAATAAGATTTAGGGCAGAGAAACTTATTTCACAAGACGCAGTACTGACAGGTATTAAAAAGATCTTTGCAAGCCTCAAAAGCTCATGAAACACTTTCCAAACGTTTCAAAAGGACAAGGAAGTCCAACAGGGACTCTCTAATCATTTTTTTCCTCCCAAGAAGCCGCCTAGTTTGACGTACTGTACTTCATGCTTAACGTCCTCTATATCTGACTGAAAGGTTCTGCCAAATGAAAACAGGGGCTCTTCTTTCAAAAATGTTTTGGGGTCAAGCGACTGCACATCATTCATAATCTTAGATATTTTTTTTCTTTTTGTGTGTGTGAAAAAACGCCTTCTGCCAATAGACAATCCTACACCTGTCTGCGACACCCTCTCATTCTCTAAAACTCAATTATATAAGCTATATTTTAATACAACACAACAAATTCCTCATCATCTCAAAACATACTGCCTCCGAGTCTGACCTTCAGGTTTCATCATCCTGATCTACAGGCCTTTTCCTAACAAAAAAAGACCTGTAGACGCAATGTCTCCTCCTTTTCTTTTCATGTTTACACTAAAGGGAAGAGGGCAATGATACGATGGGCAATTAATAATGGAAAATACACACGCATGGACACCCGCACGCACACACACGCACACAGGTACGCACACACACACTGGCAGACACAGGCACGCACACACACACTGCCACACACAGGCACGCACACACACACGCACACAGGCACGCACACACACACTGCCACACACAGGCACGCACGCACACACGTACACAGGCACGCAGACCCACACTGGCACACACAGGCACGCACACACACGCAGACACACTGGTACCCCTCTGGCTCCGCCACTGTGTGGGGTCTCTCAAGTTTGGAAAATCGTCCAACAATTTTAAAATTGTCTCGTGTGAACCAGGCTTAAGGCACCCTCAAGTGTGTAGTGCGGGTGCTAGATAGATTTTTTTCAGAAATCTGTCCCTTACTTGCATTGGACAATCATTTTGTTTAGAATACTTGTACACCCAATTACAAACTCCAGAAAATCTACATGCAGAAGACTGCAGAATGGTGTGATATTCTCTTACATTAACTCTCAAAGACCACATATTAAGAGCCTCTAATTCATTACAGCATAACTATTTGAATCCTTTCCATTTTAGGAACTGATTGTAATGACGTGTTCTTGAGGAAGTAGTAATAAATCGTTTCCTTATGTGGAACAGCTCCTGACTTGCGTTATTTTGTTGTAGTTCGTACTTGAGGAATACACACTGTCTGACGTCCTCGATGACATCACCAGGGATGACCTCCGCTGCCTTCATTTACGGTACGTTATTTTCTAACCACACAAAAATTATCTATGAAATTGCATGTAGTTATTTGCTCTCAAAACAGTTTGATTCTGTCTCTAGTTTTCACATGGAAGTACTTTTGACCAATTCACATTTTTGTAGACAATCAGCTCTCAGCCCAAAGTTCATTTCATTTTATTAAATCACAACAGCAAAGATAATCAGAGAACAGATTAGAGAAGCAACCAGCTCGAACACAGGAAGTGCCATAATAAAATACATACAATACAATACAATACAATTTATTCTTGTATAGCCCTAGGTCACAACAGAAGTCATCTCAGAGGACTTAACAAAACCATTGAAATCACCAACACAGGTCAGAGAATCAACAGTTAAAACAAAGCAAAGGAAGGTTTCTCACCCATCATCTGTACTTCTTAGCAAGTTTTCCCGACGTTTCGTCCTCAACCTGGGGACTTCTTCAGGGAATGAATTCTCGGACCGCGCGTTGGAGATTTATAACCTATGGGTGTGGTAAGCCACACCCTAATCCTGATACTAACTCGTAAACAATCTCAGGTCTGCTTGATGTAGAAGGGAGCAGGTCTAACGACCCTGCTGAGGCTAACGACCCTAACTCCTTAGCATGTCACAGACCTATTGTCTGCTGGGATGCTCAAGTGGAGTGCAGGTCTCACCCCTCCTAACTCATTAGCATGTCACTGACCTTGTCCCAAGTTAGGGCGTTGTTTTTAGGATGTCGTCATAGATGCGAGGCAAAACAAATCTTAACCCTCCTCCTCTGTTAAGAGAAGGTTTTTGTTTCCTCACAAAAATGGCTTCTTTCACCCCTCTCTCAAACCAATTCTTCTCCCGAGCCAGAATTTTAACCTCTGTGTCATCCACCGTGTGGTTGGAGGCCTTGAGGTGGAGATGAACAGCCGACTGTGGCCCACTAGAGTTTTCTCTACGATGTTGGTAAAGTCGTTTCTGTAGAGTTTGTTTGGTTTCTCCAATATAGTGGTCAGTGCACTCCTCTTCACTACATTTAATTGAATACACCACATTGCTCTGTTTGTGTCTGGGTGTTTTGTCTTTGGGATGCACTAATTTCTGTCTTAACGTGTCGAAAGGTTTGAAATACACAGGGATTTTGTGTTGCCTAAAGATTCTTTGTAGTTTCTCTGAAACTACAACGGGGAGTTTCAGAGAAACTACAAAGAATCTTCCACCGCATCAGCAAGGAACAATGCAAAAGTGTCAAAATTGTTCTTACAATAAGATCAAAACATTGTAAGAATGGCTACCCCAGCTTTAACTGTGATGACTTGTGAGATGATAAAAAACAATGCAAAATCATACTTTTGACTGTAATTACATCATTGTTTCTGTCATTAAACCTGGAGTTTTTAGCTCTGTCCATTCTAATATGGGGAACTTTTATCACAAAATAGCCCAAGCACGCTCCTTTGTTCCTTTGTCATGTCCAACAAGGAAAAAAATGTATTATACCAGTGCGTTGCTCCAGATTAGAGTGCATAGTAGAGCAAATAGAGTTTCTCATGTCTCTATTATCTGTGGACTTTCCAGGGGAGGAGTTCTGTGTCGCATTTGGAGGGCGATCCAGCGGCACAGGGAGAGACAGAGGTTGAGGAGTCCCGAGCGCTCCAAGAAAGATGCATGATGGGAAACTCGCACACACACTGCCGGCTGAGCATTTATTCATCAAACACTACAAATTCATATTGGTTTTCCCTTTTCCTTTCTACAGTATGTAAAGCCTCATATGTGCAGTACCATTGCTAATCCTTGCTATGCACCAACGAGAAAGAGTTGAGGAGTTTAACATATACATTTAAGTGAGTAAAGAAAAGCTAGTACTACTTATTTACCTGACATATTTGAGCGCTGGACTTCTGACTTGGTTAGAGCTTATCCATGAGTAGTAGTAGTAGTAGTAATCTTTATTTATATACCGCCTTTTCACTGCACATCGGAGTCTCAAAGCGGTTTACAATTGTTATTTTTGGGAGTGGGAGGGGCCAGTACAGGAGGCACATGCCAGACCTATTGTACATAATTTTAGTGGTAGGGGAAACCAGAGCACCCGGAAGAAACCTACGCAGACACGGGGAGAACATGCAAACTCCACTCAGAAAGGCCCTGGTCCAACCGGGATTCGAACCCAGGACCTTCTTGCTGAGAGGCGAGAGTGCTATCCACTCAGCCACCGTGCCGCCCATGAGGGCGTGACGTGTACTTTATCAGTTGTTTTTCACAGTTGTGGTCAGCTGAAAAGTAATGCCAATGTGTAAGCCCAGGTAAAAACTCCCCAGTCTTTGATGGTCAAGGTTCAGGTTTCATTTATACTGGTCGGTCTAGTCTCAATGTTAGATGTACAGAGATTACAACATCCTCTATATGTCCTGCTTCTCTGATTTCAATAGCGTCCTGTTTCTATTGTGTGTGTTGGTGTTCTTCTGTGCATTCTTTGTCTTGCCCTGCGTCCCAAGAAGCAGTACTAGCTTTAGGTAATATTAGCTTTCTTTGCACATTTCTATATTTATCAGTCCTGTTATGAAAATGAAATAAGTGCAAGTTTGGGGAAAACAAGGGTTAGTCAAGGTAAAAGTATCTCAGGTAAAGTGAAACATGGTTTTGCTGCCTTCAAAACAGTGGAACTTTGTGAATGAGCTATTTTAGATGTTTTGTCTGCAACAAGGTTACTTTACACTCCAGCGTATAGCAATTCACCAAACAACATGGTTGGCATTATGTCCTTTTTAAATATTTTTGCCCAAACGCCTGGTTTTACACATTCATTCAGTCTCTCGTCTTGTCCAAAGGGGGACGCGTCCCAGATCAAAAGGATCTGTGAGCATGTGAGCTGACAGGCTTGTAACTCCTTACCGGTGGTGGCGTACCTGGAAAAAGATTTAAAAAAAAGAATATGCATAAATATGCATGAGCGCTGGAAAACGCTCCATGTCAATGTGCCATCTTGAAAAACATTGATAGTGACAAAGTGACAAAATTGCATTTTTGTTTCCCAGGTGCAACTATTATTGCACCGTGACCTGACAAGTTTGAAGAAGGGATCATGGAGGACCAGAGTTATGTAAAAGAACTACCTGAACAAGAAACTTTTTTTAAATCTAGAAACCGCCGTCGTAACAGCAAAGCTGTCAACATTGCAAACCAAACACCCCCCCGAAAGGCAGAGTTTTAAACAATCCAAGGCACATTGCTGTAGTTTGTACAGCATGACGCACACAAGCGCAATACGTAACTTTCTTCACACCGACAGTAATGAGAACGAGGCAGAATCTGCAGCACAGGCCTGGGGAGGTTCTGACCCGCTCTGAACATTAATCCAACTACTATGTTCACAAGTTTCAACAAAACTTATACAGGGGACAAGCATCAAATATGCAAAACACACAGAATCCCCTGCAGAACAATCGCCAGAATACCGTTTATCAACACAATGAGCTGGAATGTTTCTGTTTTCTTACAGTGAGGATGAGGCAGGATCACGGGCAGGACACAGTGCTGTGATGAGGTGTAGTATTAGTATTAGCCTATAGCTCAGGTTTGCTGTTGATAATTTGTTACTTCTATCAGCGTTTAGCCATGGTTGTGTATGCCTACTGTACAAAAGGGCACCGCCCTGGCTCCTCTGATCATAGTGGTTTTAGCTCCCACAGACACCTCATTCCTCCACGCGTGTTAAAAAAAGTGCAATATTATTACTGTGCTACTGCTACTACTACTACTACTACTACTACTACTACTACTCATACTACTATTTCAACTAATACTGCTGCTACTACTGCCACTATTATTACTATGACTATTAAGATTTTTCTCCCATCACCATTTGTGTCGCCATTTATGCAAAGACAAGCAAATTATCTGCTCTTTTATTCAGCTTTACCTATGCACATGCATTCATAGAAATCTGCCTTATTTATTCATAATGATGTCAAATGTGCATGTGCCATTGTCTAATTGTACTTTTTTCTATTTAGAATGTGTGTTGTGCTTCAATGAATGCTTAAGAAGTGCAATAAACATTCAAGTTACCCATTTAACTTGCCCATAGTCTTTTTTGCCAGACCTTTGATATTGCAGTTACATTATTTACATGAACAAAAACAATTGAAGCAGGAATCTTTTATTGTATGTGGTATTGAATTATGAAACATACAGTAATTCTCTCAAAAATCATGTTTGCTGTATATATGAAATTCTCATTCGTTGAAAATGTGTTTAAAATTCTGGATAATTTTGTAATGAAGTTATGAAGACGGTGGAGCAACAGTGGGGACATTTCAGTTACAGAACTGTAGGTGTGAGGAGCACACAGCACAAGATAAATGCACAACTGTGTACTTGCTTGCTTTTCCATATAGACCTGTTATTGCCTGAATGGAAGTTTGGTATTAATCCTATAGGCCTACTTCCAATATATCCAATGTGACGTGACTACATCTGCAAGTATAATATAGTATGAAACATTTCTGACAAAGTACAATGAGATATCTGTATGTAGACGGACAGGTCCATAAACTCTCCATTAAACTTGGAGTGTATATTAATAACAACCATATAAAAAATGAGTGATTTTTATGTTTAACAGCATATAGGGCACCCAGAACTGTAAATAATACAAATATTTAAATTTCATTTAAATATTACTGAATGTATCAGTAGCTGCTATTAGTTTGAAATGAGGCAATCGTCTGTGACATCATGTCTCCAGATAGACAGGTTCCACCTGGAAACTACTTACTTATCAATAATTAATATGTTGCATGAAACAGAACACATTTTAAAGCTGTGAGTTTGGACAGACAGCTGAGTCTTGGTAGAGATGCAGCCAGCGAAAATTCAATTTGGTAGACGTTAACCAAAATTACCCCCTCCAGGCCGGCTCGCATCCCCAGCCTATCGCTCAGCAGACGCCCCCTTCCAATCATCCGTACCGACTACGCCAGCCGCATAAAAACGGAGAAACTCCCACTCTCAGCCTCTGAAGCCTTGCAAGCCCTCGAAGCCTTGCAATGAATCGTCTGGAGGAATCGTTTTCGTCTACTCACGCTACTCGTGCGTGTCCCTGGTGTCCTCCGTCTTGCTGCGTTGTGGTCTGCTCCTCCTCCGCGTCCCTGCACCTGCTGTGGTTCGCGTGTCTCCACTGCTCTCCTCCTCTGCGGGCTCTTTCTGCGGGCTGCTCCGCGGGGCCCCTCCGCGGGTTCGGTGCTGCTCGTTCCTCGTGGTCTGCTGCCGCGCGCAGAAGGTCTGGCGGTGCCATGCGTGTCCCTGCCTCGATTGGCGGTGCCGCGTTGTCCCGTTGCTTTTCCCAAGTCTCCTGGCATGTGAGTACAGTGAGTGTGCTGACCGCGGTCGGATTAATCCCGGAGTTTTGGGCTGCAGGCGATTGGTTTTTGCCCCGCGCATTGGACTGCAGGCGTCAGTTTTTTCGCCCCGTGCTTGGTCTGCAGGCTCCGTTTTCGCTTGTGTTTGAGCTAACTGAGGGGCAATGCATATTAAATGGCATCAATCTCTATCGTCTGAGGGATATAAGAGGAGCTACGTGCATTAATTCAGATTCATGTTCTGCCACTTGCAGTAAAACCATGCATTTAAATAGCTAGGTCGCTGGTATTAAATTAGGTAACTAAACTGCAGTTGTTGCATTTTGAAAGTGCAGCAGAAAGAAAAAGGGCCCAACGTGAATCTGCAATGGGTGCGAAGTGGTGTTGGAGCTAATGAACGCATGGATCAGTGATCGTTCATGCGTATCTGCCATAACCAAAGCAGCAAGATGGCTCCAGGGGACGTCTGTTATTCGCATGGGATGTTTCGGATTCGGGTCGATTTATTTCCTCAGGCTGTTAAACAACCATGGGCATGGTTCTCTGACCGCCGCTGCTGCCGGTCCCCGCTGCCGTTCCTACTGATGCCTGATCCCGCTGCCGCTGTTCCTGCTGCCGCTCCTGCTGCTGCCTGTTCCTGCTGCCGCTCCTGCCGCTGTCTGTCCCTGCTGCCTGCTCCTGCTGCTCCTACTACTACATGTGCCGCTGCTGCTGTTCCTGCCGCTGCCGCTCCGCAGGCTCCCAGGCTGCACCTGTCTCTACGGCTCGGCTCTTTCAGACACGTACATAACCTGGCTCACGGAGTCAAGCGGCGCACGCTGGCGTGACACGTCTGTTTGTTCGTATGAATCGCATTGTGGTGCTGCTGCTCCCGCTAATGCTGCTTCTGCTGCTTCATACTGCTACCGCTACTGCTGTTACTGCTGCCGCTGCTGCTTCATACGGCTACTGCTGCCGTGCTGCTGCTGCTTCATTTACTTTGCCATCTCTCTTCACTTGCATCTCTTTTACTGAAACACTAAACAGCTACAACAACATTCTACTGCTGTGGCTTTGATACAGGATTATTGCTGTTATTATCTACGGATGCTGCAGCTGCTGCTGCTGCTACTGCTGCTGCTGCTGCTGCTTCATACTGCTACTGCGCTACTGCTACTGCTGCTGCTGCTTCATACCGCTACTGCTGCTACTACTGCTGCTGCTGCTTCATTTACTTGCCATCTCTCTTCACTTGCATCTCTTTTACTGAAACACTGATCAGCTACGACAACATTCTACTGCTGTGGCTTGATACAGGATTATTACT